TTTAATATGCATTGCCCCTCAGTTAGCTCAAACACGTGTGAAAACGGAGCCTGCAGACCAAGCACGGGGCGAAAACTGACGCCTGCAGTCAAGTGCGCGGGGCGAAAACCAGCCGCCTGCAGCCTAGACTCCGGGATTAATCCGTCCGCGGTCGGCACACTCACTGTACTCACATGCCAGGAGACTTGGGAAAAGCAACGGGACAACGCGGCACCGCCAATCGGAGGCAGGGACACGCACGGCACCGCCAGACCGTCTGCGCGCGGCAGCAGACCACGAGGAACGAGCAGCACAGAACCCGCGGAGGGGCCCCGCGGAGCAGCCCGCAGAAGAGCCCGCAGAGGAGGAGAGCAGTGGAGACACGCGAACCACAGCAGGTGCAGGGACGCGGAGGAGGAGCAGACCACGAGCAGCCAGACTGAGGACAGCCGGGTCACGCGCACGAGCAACACGTGAGCAGAAGCGACCCCTCCAGAACAACGCATGCATTTGCGAACAGGTACGTTAGCGACATGCACCTTGCAGGCTTCAAAAGTTTGCAAACTTCAGAAGGCCGGGAAGTGGGCGTCTCCGGCTTTTAACTTGCTGTCCTGGTGGTTATTGGTGGATTGGATGTGGGCGTTTTGCTGGTGTAATGAGTAGAGGATGAGCAGGCTTGTAGCAGCGGCCGGTTCTACCATAGTGAATTTTCGCGAAGAGCTCCATGACTATATAAACTGTGTACTGGCTTTGCTCTGTCTGAAAAGATGGGAGAGAAAGAAACATCAGAAACCACTGGAACTTGAGAGAAACCAAAATAAACTTCCTGAAAACAACCAGAGAATGACGCACACTGAGCACTCACTTTTTTCCCACTGGCTGTGAGTTTTTTCTTGCCAATGCAGGAGGGTCTGTTGAACAGTTAGTGTCTACGATAAGATAAGATAAGATAAACCTTTATTCGTCTCACAGTGGAGAAATTTCAGTGCCATCGTTGCGCACATTACAGCAGAGAAAGGAAATAAGAGCAAATTGTAAGATAAAAATAAAATAAAATGAGATAAAACTCTGGGCTATAATTGCACTTGGTTCGGAAGTATTTACAGATGTGTATATTATACATTAGATTAAATATCAGAAATAATATCAACAGGTAAAGTGACTCGACTGGGAGAATTTTCAGATGGATATGTAATAATACAGTAAAATATCAGCAGGTAAAGTGACTGGTGAAAGGCAGAAATATCAGATATCTAATAATGCAGTAGCACTGATAACAGGTAAAGTAACTAGTGACAAAGTTACTAGTGAATTATCAGTGACACTTGTGCAGACTCAGCAGTTCCTGTTACATATTCTCGTTGTACAGTCTGACAGCAGCAGGAAGGAAAGACCTACGGAACCTCTCCTTCACACAGCGAGGGTGAATTAGTCTGTCACTGAAACTGCTCTCCAGGGCAGAGAGAGTGTCCTGCAGGGGGTGACAGTCATGGTCCAGCATAGATGTTAGTTTGCCCAGGACCCTCCTGTCCCCCACCTGCTGCACTGTGTCCAGGGACACATACCAGCATACCACACCGTACAAATGGCTGATGCCACCACAGAGTCATAGAAGGTCTTCAGGAGCGGCCCCTGCACTCCAAAAGACCTGAGCCTCCTCGGCAGGTAGAGCCGGCTCTGGCCCCTCTTGAAGAGGGCGTCTGTGTTATGAGTCCAGACCAGTTTGTGGATGTTCACTGGGGCTGGAGCGGCAGAGTGACGTCTGCGGAAATCCACCACCATCTCCTTGGTCTTCCCCGCGTTGATGAGGAGGTGGTTCCGCTGACACCAGTCCACAAAGTCCTGTATGACTCCTCTGTACTCTGTGTCATCGTCCTCGGAGCTGAGTCCGATGATGGCAGAGTCGTCTGAGAACTTCAGTAGGACACAACCGTCCGTGTTGTGTCTGAAGTCCGCAGTGTAGAGGGTGAAGAGGAACGGCGAAAAGAAAGAAGGTTGAAACTGAAGAGCGCAACGCGACGGGCAGCCAGCTCCTCCAGCGCCTGCGCAGTCTGACAAGAAGGATGTGGTGATGATCCAGGACACTTTAACATTCTTCAACATTCATGGATATTGGTCTCCCAATGGATCAATGCATATGTGTATTTTCTGTGTCTTAACTGTTGATTCTCTGATCTGTGTTGGTGATTTCAATGGTTTTGTTAAGTCCTCTGAGATGACTGCTGTTGTGATTTAGGGCTATACAAGACTAAATCGTATTGCATAGTATTGTAATGGCCATTTGCTAATTGCGGCCACCAAATTGGCGATGAATCCTGCAGTTCGCCCCTTCAGTGTGTTTCAGATTGTGTGCCCTTAATTTACTAAAAGGAAAAAGTTGGCTACAGTCTCAAAAAGGCATCAGTGCCTTTTTGACATATGCAAACAAACTTGTCATAGATTATCACTATAACAGATGAAAGATTTAGCATTGTAATGCAATATCGACAGACAAGACGGTGAACTATCTTTGAATCTAACAAATATTGTACCTTCTTTTGTGTCTTTTAAATACCAGATAGTCGTTTCTAATCTGTGAGGCTGCTGGTTAATGCGTTTTTCTTGTGCACACATGACCCCAGAGTTAATACGATCAGTGTTTGATCTTGGTCTCTTCATTCTATTGTTCTGAGATGTTTGATAAGGAAATCCTCCCTAAAAACCATTATCTTCCTGTCCCCATTCCTAGACTGCAAAACCTGATATACAGTGGGGCAAAAAAGTATTTAGTCAGCCACCGATTGTGCAAGTTCTCCCACTTAAAATAATGACAGAGGTCCGTAATTTTCATCATAGGTACACTTCAACTGGAGAGACAGAATGTGAAAAAAAAATCCAGGAATTCACATTGTAGGATTTTCAAACAATTTATTTGTAAATTATGGTGGAAAATAAGTATTTGGTCAATAACAAAAATTCAACTCAACACTTGGTAATATAACCTTTGTTGGCAATAACAGAGGTCAAACGATCACTATAGGTCTTTACCAGGTTTGCACACACAGTAGCTGGTATTTTGGCCCATTCCTCCATGCAGATCTTCCTGAGAGCAGTGATGTTTTGAGGCTGTCGCAGAGTAACATGGAATTTCAACTCCCTCCACAGATTTTCAATGGGGTTGAGGTCTGGAGACTGGCTAAGCCACTCTAGGACTTTCAAATGCTTCTTACGGAGCCACTCCTTCGTTGCCCGGGCGGTGTGTTTGGGATAATTGTCATGCTGGAAGACCCAGCCACGTTTCATCTTCAAAGCTCTCACTGATGGAAGGAGGTTTTGGCTCAAAATGTCACGATACATGGCCCCAATCATTCTTTCCTTAACACGGATCAGTCGTCCTGTCCCCTTAGCAGAAAAACAGCCGAAAGCATGACGTTTCCACCCCCATGCTTCACAGTAGGTATGGTGTTCTTGGGATGCAACTCAGTATCCAAACACGATGAGTTGAGTTTATACCAAACAGTTCTACTTTGGTTTCATCTGACCACATGACATTCTCCACATCCTCTGCTGTATCATCCATGTGCTCTCTGGCAAACCTCAGACGGGCCTGGACATGCACTGGCTTCAGCAGGGGGACACGTCTGGCATTGTAGGATTTGATTCCCTGTCGTTGTAGTGTGTTACTGTTGGCAACCTTTGTTACGTTGGTCCCAGCTCTCAGCAGGTCATTCACCAGGTCCCCCGTGTGGTTCTGGGATATTTGATCACCGTTCTCATGATCATTTTGACCCCACGGGATGAGATCTTGCGATCGAGGGAGATTATCAGTGGTCTTGTATGTCTTCCATTTTCTGATAATTGCTCCCACAGTTGATTTGTTCACACCAAGCTGCTTGCCTATTGTAGATTCACTCTTTCCAGTCTGGTGCAGGTCTCCAATTATTTTCCTGGTGTCCTTCGACAGCTTTTTGGTCTTGGCCATAGTGGAGTTTGGAGTCTGACTGTTTGAGGCTGTGAACAGGTGTCTTTTATACAGATAACAAGTGGAGGACAGAAGAGCTTCTTAAAGAAGAAGTTACAGGTCTGTGAGAGCCAGAGATCTTCCTTGTTTGAAGTGACCAAATACTTATTTTCCACCATAATTTACAAATACATTCTTTAAAAATCCTACAATGTGAATTCCTGGATTTTTTTTTCACATTCTGTCTCTCACAGTTGAAGTGTACCTGTCATTATTTTAAGTGGGAGAACTTGCACAAGCAGTGGCTGACTAAATACTTTTTTGCCCCACTGTAAATACTTAAAGTGGAAATTTCACGTCTTTATTGTCTATAAAAATTTTCAGCGGAAGAGCTAAAATCCTAACAATACAATCTTATTCTTCTAATACAGCTGTGGCATAATCAAACTGGAAGCACTGGAAGCTGATTGGCTGAGTGAGGGTGGTCCTTTCTTTTTCACTTTTCTGTCTCAGAAAAAGCTGATCTGACAGAGGCCAAATCTACATGCTTGTGTGAACTAGTGAGAAAATCAAACTAAAACCAGTGACATTGATTTTTTTACATTTTTAAATAATTTGTCCAAATGTGACATAGCTCTTATGTAATTAATGGAAATATGGCTCAGCATCTGTCACTTTCACCCCGGTTCAAAAGGCATTAACACATTGGTGGGAAAGGACTTCTGACTGACCACCTCCTGGTAAAGACCTGACTTCAATATGGCACCATCTGCACACACACACACACACACACACACACACACACACACACACACACACACACACACACACACACACACACACACACACACACACACACACACAAAGTTTGTCCTATTGTCCTTTTTTAATCTGTTGTATAATGGATGGCACATTTTCTACTTTTCATTTGCTCTTTCCCAACAGACCAGACCGTGCTGGTGTTGGGTCCCTGAAGGTGATCCCCCTTGGCTCTCTGGGAGAACTTTGCGGCAGACCAGTGGGGGTGCTTTGGTGGATGCGTGGTTCCTTTGGGTGCTGTGTTTGGATGGGCCGCTGAGAGATGGGTGCAACACAGCGCTGGAGGAGGCCATGTGCCCTGCTGCCGCTGCTTTTACTCTGCACTCAAGCATTTCTGGACATTCCACGCAACTGTGAGTACACCATGGTGCACGTGTATGCGCTGCTGTGCTTTTGGACATAATTGAGAGGTTTATGAGTGATACTGCAAACACATTTTCATTCATTGTTTGTAGTTGTGTGAAGCCATTTTTTGTTGGACAATCACCTTTGAGTTTTAACTGTGAGGAAGGTTGTGAGGAATTGTAAGACCACATGCACTGTCAGAACAACAATAATCTCAGATAAGCAGAGGTGCAGGATGGTGAGAACAACTCACAAACCAGCTTCAAAGAGCTCCATCAGATTGCTGCAGATAGTGTCACTGTGCACAACTATTCACTTTACACAAAAAGATGCTGAAAGGGAGAGTAATGCATACAAATATTTTTTTCTACACACGCTACAAACAGTGCCGCTTAAGGTATGCTAAAGCACATTTGGACACGCTAGGTTTATTGTAGAATAATGTGTCGTGGACTGAAACTAAAATGAAATTATTTGGGCAAAAAAAAGCCCGTTATGCATGGAGGAAAAAGAACACAGCATTCCAAGAAGAACACACACTAACTATAGTAACATTTGGTGGTGGTTCCATTATGCTGTGGGGCTGTGTGTCCAGTGCAGGCACTGGGAATCTTGTTAAAGTTGAGGGATGCAGGAATTCTACTCAATATCAGCAGATTCTGGAGAACAATGTCCAGGAATCAGTGACAAAGTGGAAGTTGCGCCAGGGCTGGATCTTTTAACAAGACAGCATAAACACTGCTCAAAATATACTGATGGTGCTTTCACACCGGATAATGTGTTGCGTCAACTTTCAATGCAAAGTCAATGGTGACCCGCGTTCGAGCGTCGAACTGCATATGCGTCTTGGGATGCACGAGGGGACTGTGCGGAAGAGACGAACGGACTGCGCACTATTGCTGAGCGTTTCCTCGGGACGCTTGGCAGCGACCAATCAGAGAGCCGCAAAGTGGTCATGGGGACATTAGCGGTCTGAGCGAGCAGACTGAACATACTCGTAAACAGCCAAAACAGGAGCTACATCAGGACTAAACCAGGGTTGACAATGGGTGCCTTTTCATGCTCCCGTGACTTTATGCAACTGCTTCGAGCGTGTTCACCGATGCGGAAGTACCGTTCAATAGTAAAATAAATGTATGGCGCACCTCCGTGAACACGTACTACTTTTCTATAAAGTTTGTGAAGGTGTCTGGACACAGACACGCTGCAAAGCTGCATTATTGGAGAAGAACTTTACAAAAGAAGCCGCTAGCTTAACTCCGTTAGCATCCAAGTCCGCCCGCTACTTCCACCATTTCCGGCGCGCGCCACCGCAGGCCAGGACTTCTGGTCTGAAGACCCCTGCGTTTGAAAATTAGAGAATGTGCGTCTGGTGCGCGAGGCATCAGCGTTCCTGCGTCGGCGGTGTGAAAGCACCTTTAGACATTCATGCGGAGGAACAAACATAACGTTCAGGAGTGGCCATCTCAGTCCCCAGACCTCAATATTATTCAAAATGTGTGATGTGATTTAAAAAAAAGGCTGTCCATGCTCGCAGCACATCATATTTGACTGAACTAGAGATGATTTGCAAAGAAGAATGGTCCAAAATCCCTTCCATCAGAATCCAGACTCTAATTGTAATTTTTCAATATTTTTTTTGTGGGAACATTTTTAAAAGAAATGTTTGGTATACAATGTATTGTGTTCATTACAATCACATGCTTCCATTTATATTTTCAAACATGTTGTTAGCTCAAATTGGGGGTTATAAGTCCCGCTGACACAAGAAGATGGTGTCAATCCTGCTTAAACCTGCTTTAGACATGCTTTACCTGCCCTAGACCTGGTTTAGACCTGCTTTAGACCTGCGCTAGTCCTACGTGAGACCAGCTTGAGATTCTCTTTAGGCTGGCTCATGGCCTGCTTTATAGACCTTCTTTAGTCCTGCATTAGACCTGCTTATACTTCAGACCTGCTATATTCCTGCTTTAGTCTTGCTTCAGGCCTGCTTTAGACCTGCTTGATAATACTTGGAGCCTGCGGGAGCATAGAGCGCGTGTAAATGGATCTCTGTTGCCTGTGTGGCTGTTGTTATAGTTTACAAAATGGCTTTAATCTGTTTACTGCATGATCACTAACCCTTATCTCTGCTTTCTGCTGCTTTTTCTGCCTCCGTTCGGACACAGATTCATTTCTGAACAGTAAGTGACTTTTTCATATAGAGGTGTTCTGTGTGCTAACAACAGTTGTGGATAACAAAAGTAGGGATCCTTTTCCACAAACAACCATAGGTAGAATAGTTACAAATAGCTTAACAGAAGGTTTGAAATAATTTGTTAATAAATGAAACGATGATATGGAGGATAACATGGTTTTGCTGTGTGTTTTTGGTTCAGTCCTTGTTTAGTCCTGGTTTAATCTTGGTTCAGTTCTGGTTAGTATAGTCTATAAGCGGAGGACACTTCTTTAACTTTTTTGGAGTGTGGTTTTGGGCTAACCCTTAGTTTGCAGTCTGCAACCTTAGTCCTATAAACACTGGTTTCAAAATAGATCAATGTTTGAACTCTGTAAAATGCAAATCAAAAATATAATTCCAAGGACTGCCTGTAAATCTTGGTTTCAAATAGTTAGTTTGCAGAGTGTCAATCAGTATAGAACATTTATCTGGAATTTATGGTTTGGGTTTCAAATGATAAAAAAGAATGGGCAGAAAATATCTGCCAAATTCAATCATTATTTGGTATAGACAATAACCGTATATCTACCGTATATACAAGTGGCCATTGGTCAGAACAAATTTGGCAGCGACCAGAAAAAACAATGTTAGTCAATCTGTTTTTGAACAATACTAATTCTATCCCAGTTCAATACAAGTCCTGCCAATATATGGCATATATTCTTCCGTTGCAGAAATGGGTTTGTTTTGGACTTAATAATTTAAGATAAGCTTTATTGATCTCACAATGGAGAAATGTACAACTCACGACCTTCAGATATTATCATATTGTATTGTATATGTGAATATTGTGTTTGTCCAGTACCAGCACCTCCGGTTCTACTCGTGACCCCTGAGTCCTTCACTGCCTTTTCCCCAGCCAACGTAGTCCTGCCATGTGAGGCCAACGGAAACCCCACTCCCACGTATGTCGGTCCGATAAGTTTCAGTGTTCTAAAACCATTGATAGCAGTATATCAAAAGAAAATTAATCCAAACAAAAACCATGTGACCAATCATTACGGTTGGTCCTCGCATCTCCAGCGGCTGGGGCCTGTGTCATCAAATCAAAAGTCCTGTGTGCAATATATTATTATTGTTTGAAGGGTCCATTTTGTTTGTAGTTTGATGAAGCTCTAGATTGTTTTAGCATGCCTCTTATTTATTTGAGTGAGATTGAAAATCTTTACTAATTCATTAATTCATGAAATTAAGTTCTTCAGCTTTAAGTAGGATCTGAAGAAAAGTTATGCAGAAAGACCAAATATGTCACTCTTAAGATTAATGTTTTTGTTTGTGTCAGGGTATGTTAGCAATTGATGAAATGGACATAAGATAAGATAAGGTAAATAAGGTAAGTACCTCAATTGCCTCTAGCTGGAGAAATGTGTCTTTGGCATCAGAGGTACAAGAAAACTAGCCTGACTCTCGCCAGACCCATGTAGTTCGCTGCACTTCACACATGAGTCTGGTACTGAGCCAGATTAGGTTCACTTGTGAGTGTGTTTTTTTTTTTCGCTGGTATCATGTTATTTCATGATACTTTCATGAAACAACATGATAAATATCATGTTATTTCATGATACACAACTATCATGTAATTTCATGATACCAATTTATCATGTTATTTCATGATACACAACTATCATGTTATTTCATGATACCAGTTTATCATGAAATAACATGATCAATTGGTATCATGAAATAACATGATAAATTGGTATCATGAAATAACATGATACCAGCGGAAAAAAAAAACACACTCACAAGTGAACCTAACAAGCTTCCGTAGATTTAAAAAAAAAAACCACTCAGAATGATTTTTTGGCTAAAAATGTAATGTAATCAACTTGGGCTATCATGATTCTGTTTATTGTCTTTCTGTTTATTTAGTACCTACAAATCTCTTGGAAAAAAAATATGCGGGAACCTCCAAACCTGGCAACCCTGCTGCATAGTGTGTAAACAGGAACACTGAACCAGTGCTTCAACCAAACTTTACAGGAACATTTGACTCTTAAAACACACATATATCAACATAAAACCATCTACATCTCGCCTCAAATTGCATTAAAAGTGACATCCGTGTCTTAATTTGATCGTATTTACTCTTTTAAAAAGATTTGCGGACTTTACGTCTGCCATCTTGGATTCCTCTCGCTGCTGCATGAGAGAAGCTTGAGAAGGCAGTGCAAACCCCACGTAACACCGGCAATCCTGATTGGTCGATTCAAAAATAATCTGGGGAAGGCGTTCGCTATGGCGTCGATACCAGACTCATGTGGTTCAGCCAAACGCCTCTGGTGGAGCATGGCGGAACTACAAGGGTCTGGCAGAGCCAGGCTACAAGAAAACAGCACATACTGTACAGTAGATGAAGGGCCACCTTAAGCCCTGGGATTTACACAGGATTGGCACCCTCCTCAGTGCCAACCCTAACCATATATGTCCCTAAATCTGATATTTCTGCATGTAAAAAAATAAAAGTTAAAGGATATCTTGTACCACTTATACATAAAAAAGTACAACACAACCAAAAGAGACAACAAGGAGAAAACCTGCTTCAAAAAAAGTTTTGCCTTTACCTTCATAAAACCAAGAGCTTCACCAAAAGAAAAGGCATTGGACATAAACATCCACGTACACACAATTACACCTACTGATTGCACATTTCCTACATGGCATTTTTTATAGCACTGCTCCTTATCCCTTATATATATTATATATAATTGCAATTGGGGAGATGCAATAAAATATATTGCCCTCTACAAAATTACCATTGCATTTCCCCAACAGACCGAAAAAAGGCAATAAATGTTTAATTTGGCAGTCATGTGTGAGAGCAGATTATAATCTCTTCCCCTGTGCTTCTCTTGCTAACCCTTCTTGTGCTTTCTCAGGTTCCGTTGGGTGAAAGATGGCGAGGTGATGGACCTGGAGCTCATTGGCGATGGGACACTCCGTGCAGATGCTAATGACAGTTTGGACATGTACCATGGCGCATATCGCTGCTACGCCTCCAACACCCTGGGGACCGCGGTGACCCAAACCGTGCATGTCATCGTAGAGCGTGAGTCCCACTCCCACATTTCCATAGTGCAAAAACAGATGCCATGAGAAGCACGTGTGACAGACATACATTGAAATCTATTCTTCTGAGTTTCACCTGTAAATTTAAGTACCACACAAATAAAGTTGAACCCTAAAAATGTGTTGACAGAATGTGTTGAAGATAGTAACTAGAGGGATACAACTTCTTTAATAGATTTTTCATACCCTCCTTCCGTCCGTCACAAACTAATCTAAACTCTCTAAAGTGTGTAAATCATGTGTATCAAATGTTCTTTTTTATTGAGAGTATATTGTATTGAATACATTTATTTTTTATACTCGTACTATTATATGCATTGTTGTGATGTTGACTGCATCAGTTGATACCTTGGCTCTTGAAAAAAAGATTTTGAATGTCATTGGAACTTTCCGGGTAATTAGAGGTGAATATAAAGTAGAAGACTGGGCATGATACAGTTTCTGGATACAATGAAATTCTGTGTTCAGAGGCTGCAGTCTGAGCAGAGATGCCTAGACTTCCTCCTCACTCACACTGAGGCTTTCCCATCTGAAACACATAATCCCTCCAACATGTCTTTGGAGGCTGACTCAAAGACTCAATCTTTTCCTGGGGTCCCACCTGGGGTCCCACGTGGGTCACACTCAGGGTCACACCCAGGTGATCACACTCAGAGGATGCAGGAAGCATGACTGTGCAATTCTGTCCTTTGTGTTTCCATGGAGACTGGGCCTGGGCTGTCTCAATGAGTTGTGTGTGCTTTTTATAGGTCACCCAGTTATTCAGAAGCAGCAGAAAACAAAGAAGAGAGCATTTGAAGGGGAAAGCCTGGTACTGACCTGCAATCCTCCAGAGAGCTCCACCCCTCCACACATTCACTGGATGGACCGGAGTGAGTCACAACCTGTTGAAATACCATTCACACTAAATAGATTATAGTGTCTTTTGGACTTATATATATAATATATATATATATATATATATAGTAATATGTGTTGTTATTTTTTTGTGGTCCACATGCTTCATCTGCTGTCCCCGTGCTTTGTCCAGAGATGGTCCACATAAAGCTGAGCGAGCGTGTCACAGCTGGTCTGGATGGAAACCTGTACTTCTCAAACCTGCTCAAGTCCGACTCCAGGTCTGACTACACCTGCAACGCACAGTACCTGGCAGCCATGACAGTCCTGCCTGAGACCACCGTGGCCTTGACTGTCACGCCGAGTGAGTTCAAACACTTTGTGGTTCTGCATCAGCATAGTTGTAGTTCTTATAATGGAAGAGGAGAACACCCCCATCTAGTGGGGGAAGAGGTAAATGACATCCTGTTTTTAAGATTACGATTCTAACATGACATGATTTAAGAGGAAGATAGCTGTGGTAAAGCATGTTGTGTGTTTTGTTGAAATATGTTGAATAATGCCTTTGATGTCAAAGATTGATATTATCCTTTAAGTCGTGTTCGTTTCTCGCCCCTTAATTTGCCCCAATGACTAATGTTTTAACTTACATTAGTCTTTTCCTATTGCTTGAACACTATAGACACATGCTTAGACCAAAAGACCAAAAGACCTTAAACAAACAAAAGTACTGCCTTGCACTTTACTGTATTTCTGCAACACACTATCTACTTCTCCAACACACTTTCTCTTTCTGCAACACACTTTCTCTTTCTGCAACACACTTTCTCATTCTGCAACACACTTTCTCCTGCTCACTACACACTGTGTCATAAGATACACATAAGACACTTTGTTCATAAATGCAATCCTGGGAAAACACATCTATTCAAAATACCAAACGCATAGTGTGATTAAAAACACTGACTTACAAAACGCGACACACATCAGACAGACATAAACAGGCCTCACTTGAATTTCAAAATTCAAGTGAAGTGATGCTCATCTCTTTTGTATCTTTGGGTGCACAGTGTGGAGGATATCATAAAGTCTTGGGGCAATGAGATGTAAAAAGTGGTTTAAATGTGTGCTTAAATGAGTGTTTAAATGTGCAAATTGTTCTAATTTGACCAGAACACAACTCAAAGGTTAATTAAGAAATAGAATAATTAATTTGGTGGCAATAGAACGCAGCTTTATTTATTCACAGGGGAAATTACTCAGTAGCTCACCCATACACCTTAACTTGCAATTATAAAAGTATTAAAAGTTCAAAACAAATAAAGGTGTGAAAATAGCAAAGTTCAATCAACATCCGGGCTGAGTATTTGCCAAACATAGGCCCAGTTTAGACGGAGGCGCTGCGCAGACGTTTCCAAGCTATTAACAGAAACGACCAGGATCCTTATGCAAATTTCACAGCGTTGATACGACGATCAAAAACGATGTAGTTCTAGCGCCCGGACAGTAGTGGGCAGAGAAACTTTACAACACGGACACACGCGACCCCCAGCCCCCCCAGCAGTATACTCACTTCCTTAACAACTTCCTCCTCAGGCGCCGCAAAGACGTGAAAGAAAGCACCAACATCATTCTGCATTTTAACGGCAGCTGCAAAAATGGAAACTGAACCTAGAGCTTCACGTGGTTTCGTTTGGACGAACAAAGGAGTAGAATTATCCTCTATGTAGCGCTCGAAGCACACGTAGCTAGTTAGCGTACCCGCCGCCATTGTTGTTTTCGATTGTTCTCGGCTACTGCGCCCCACTAAGCAAGCCGACGTTGAATCAACGTAATTTGAACGTCGTTGTCCGACGTAGAATATAGGTCACTGGTGGGTGCAGAATGAAAGTTTTCTCGACGTCGTTTCCCGACGTCACCTCAACCTCCAAATGTTACGTTGATGGCACGTCAATTCAAGGTTTGAATGTGGTACGGAACCGGTCGGGTCTGACGTCCTATCAACGTCTCATATGACCAAAATATTGACGTTTATATGACGTTCGTTTTCAGTCGTTCCCACTAAGCAAGCAGATGTCAAAACTATGTCATTTCAACGTCATCTGGACGTTCATTCAAGGTTGCAATGTGGTACAGAACCGGTCGGGTCCGACGTCCTATCAACGTCTTATATGACCAAAATATTGCCTTCATATGACGTTCGTTTTCCGTTGTTCCCACTAAGTAAGCAGATGTCAAAACTATGTCATTTCAACGTCATCTGGACGTTCATTCAAGGTTGCAATGTGGTACAGAACCGGTCGGGTCCGACGTCCTCTCGACGTCTTATATGACCAAAATATTGACGTTTATATGACGTCCATTTACAGTCCTATTGACCTACTTAACCTCTGCAGAATCACTCACTGGTCGAGACATACTTTTTGCAATAGGCAAGGCAAGTTTATTTGTATAGCACAGTCAAAACAAAAGGAAACTCAAAGCACTGAACAAAAGATAGAAACAATCAAACAAGGCATTACAATTATAAATATTGACAGTAAATTAAAAAGATACAAATAAAATCTCTCATAAAATCTCTCAGTTGAAGCAGAAACAGAAGTGTTTTAAACCTGGATTTTAACATTGTCAAAGAAGAAGCCTGTCTCACACTTCCAGGAAGACCGTTCCAGATTTTAGCCTTGTGAATCTGAAATGCAGCTATATCATGTTTAGTTCTGACTCTGGGCAATAAACGATAAACACAGCATTCAAAAATCATTAGAACAACTGTAGTAGAAGGATATCAGTCATTACTGCAAATGGAGCTGCATTAAAAATCATGTTTCTCTACATCAAAGTACAAGTTAAAGCACACAGGACACAGTGTTATGAACACTACTGTACTGAACACTACTGTACTGAACAGTTCATGCCAAAGTAAAAAAACATGATTGTAGCGCCTATGTTTGGATCAGTATTAAAACAGGCACAAGCTACACTCTAGGTTCCCCAGATGTAAAAACACAATCTGAAAGGCAGAAGAATGCATTTATTGAATGTTGATGTTCCAACATGTGTCCTCTCTTGGTCTTCAGTCTCTCATCACAAGGTCCAAGCACAGCACCTGAAAATGTGGAACATGTTTAGTTTCAACATAATGTGGCAAAGTGATATAACAACACATAACTTTCTATTAATGCCTCAAACCACTCGATCCATCACCATGTGATACAAACCTTGGCACTGCACTAGCTCGAGACACTGGAAGACACTCCGTCTGAGAAACTTGGGATAAGGCTTTGGTCATTGGAGTAATTCCATGTAAAAAACAATTGCAAATGTGCATTTGTTTTGCACATGGACAAATGACCCTGAAAGCTACTTACCCTGTATTACTCTACACATGTTGCATTTCCGAGGGGGCATCTTCCCCTTGTTGCTCTTTTCCCTCATCTTGAGTGAGTTGCTGAACAATCTGAGAAAAAGATAAGATGTTTTCAAAGAGAATACACCAAATAATGGTTTATTCTAAAAACAACATAATACAGAAGAACAATCAATGTGTGAGAGTGTGATTCTTACCTTTGAACACCTTCAACACAGTCTGACACCTGTAAGACTCAAACACACATGACACATTAGGAATACACACAGAACATTAGTTATTGCAACAATCATGAAATTATACTCTATGGATTTCACAATAATTGACTGCATTAGCAAAGGTAAATGTATTTTAATTAACATATGGCTGGTTTTAAAGTTTATAAGAAAAATAAATTGAATAGCCAAGAACAAACGTAAACATCAATGGCGGCGGGCACGTTAACTAGCTTCGTGGGCTTTCAGCGCGGCACAGAGGATAATTCGACACCTTCGTTCTTCCAAACGAGATCACGCGAAGCTATAGGTTCAGTTTTCATTTTCACAGCTGCTGTTAAAATGCAGAATGATGTTGGTGCGTTCTGAGGGTCTGGCACAGGAAGTGAGTACACTGCCGAGAGGGGGGCTGGGCACGGGGCTGGGGGTCGTGTGAGTGTTGTAAAGTTTCTCTGCCCACTACTGGCCGGGCGCTAGAACTACATCGTTTTTCAACCTCATGTGAACGCTGAGAAATTTGCATTAGGAGCCAGGTCTTTTCTGTTAATAGCCTGGAAACGTCTGCGCAGCGTCTCAGTATAAACAGGGCCTGGGCTGTCCCACTCTGCAGGCTGGATCTGAGCACTTACGTTTTCACCTGGAACACAGTCTTCGTATGAACGGGGGGTAGCAGCAATAGCGTTTTACTGCATATGGGGCCATAGTGTAACTAGTTTGAAAACAGAATTTAGACAGACGGGTTAGGGGGATGTGTTTGTGCCTGTTAGTTCCTGACTAAGACCACATTTATTTCGAGATCATGTATGTAATTTTTTTAATGTAGTTTTCATTTTGCATTATGTAGGTTCAATAACAAACCTTAGTAGTCAGTTTGCAATAAGGCTTGTTATTGCAGACTAGATCTACTCATGGTAGCATATACAACACTCTTACTTACTTCGTAATACTTCATTCAAAGTACCCCTGTATTTCCCTCACGTACCCCCACACTTTTCTATAGGATTTGTATCCTATAGAAAAATCAAGTGTATACGATTACACTTGATAAATCTTCATAAAGTGCGTGTGATGAGAGCTGTGGTGGTTGGCTGGTGGCTGTCACAGACATGGAGATTGTACTGTCCTGTGTTCCCAGGTAACAGTGTTCTCCACGGCAGAAAGCCCCGTCTCTTCACTCCCTCTGGCCTCCGAAGCTCTGTCCTGACTCTGAGAGGAAACAGCCTGACCCTAGAGTGCATACCCAGCGGACTGTGAGTACACAACATTCATGCACTGGTCATCAAACCGCTACTCAAAGGGCTGTGTCTGTGTGGCTGCGGGATTTCTTTTCAACAAATCAAGCAGGAGCCCACCAGACTCCACTCCTTTCGTCATGTGTTCAGGTTCAGTCTGGACTTGATGAAAGGAGTGAAGTCTGGTGTGTTCCTGCTTGGTTAGAATGAAAACCTGCATCCATACGGACCTTAGAGCAGTGCTTAGGGCTTAGAACTTAGAAAAGGGCGATTAAGCTAGTACCGCTTAAGTACTTGACATTTCTTCTAAGCTGACTTCTGTGTGACGTGTCTGTTGTTACCGGATGTTGTTACCGGACAATATATAGAACCAAGACCAGCTACATTTCACAAAAAATCTGGTTACACAAATAGCAGCCATTTGATTGGATAATCTGTTCAAAAATTGTAAACATAAATATCAAGTCCATGATCATGACCATCAAGTTTTTTTTGTTAGGAATAACTCCACTTTAAAATGTTGTGACATGCTATCTTTAGTTTGTCAAAGTTTCGGTTTCAGATATTACAGAATGAAAATCCTGTAAGTGAACTCTTATTGTTTATATTGTCATAAAAAGTCACATGTGAAAGGCGTTTCACTTCTCCCTTTGGTAAATGATTGCAATCGAATTAAACATTATAAACTGTAAAAACAAAGCTTCTGTTTGTGGTACATTTATTAATTCCAAAAGTAAAAGTAATACAGTTTTTCTCTATTGCTTAAACACATTTCACAATACTGCCCTCCCTTTTCACAAAACTCTACAGCTACATACACACAACCCCACAGTCTCTTTTCAAAACTAACCCATCACACCAAAACAGTGGCTCATATTCTCAAAAGCAAACTTTGACACCAAAATACCTCTCAAGGCCTACAAAAATGTAAACACTACTGAGAATCATTAACCACATCACCAAAACAATTGAAAACACAATTTTCAGAGTGTGAGACTGTTCTTTTTACAGTTTCACAACTGCCAGGATGCATTTGAGCAACACTTATTTATTCTCAAATATGTTTTGGGAATTTACTATAGATTTGTGCGTTTCATGAGAATAGTTACATACAGTTTTTCTCTATTGCGACAACACAAAACCCAGTACTCCAAACCAAATTTCCTAAACACATTTAATAAAACTACCCCCCACTTTTCACAACCATAAACACAATTCACTTGCAGAAGCTGTTCACAAAACCCACCCCCTTTTTCTCAAAACTCTAAACACATACCGGAGACTTTTTGCTAACGTATTCCAATGTGGTTTTTTACTGCAAATGGCAAATAAATAAACTGAAACCGAACTGAACTGAACTGAACATTTTGCTTTTGCTAAAACAATTTTTTCTTTGCTAAAACACATTTTGCATATATCTCTGCTCCAATATGCATTGTGAAGCTCATGTGATGAGCTCCCACAGTCAGAAAAACATGAACTCTATGAACATTTCTGGTGTCATTCAGAAAAAGGAGCAGGTCAAGGAGGAGGAGCATGTCAAAAAGAGAAAGGAGCAGGTCAAAGAGAGAAAGGAGCAGGTCAAAGAGAGAAAGGAGCAGGTCAAAGAGAGAAAGTAGCAGGTCAAAGAGGGAGAGGAGCAGGTCAAGGAGAGAGAGGAGCAGGTCAAGGAGGAGAAAGAGCAGGTCAAAGAGAGAGGAGCAGGTCAAGGAGGGAGAGGAGCAGGTCAAGGAGGGAGAGGAGCAGGTCAAGGAGGAGAAAGAGCAGGTCAAGGAGGAGAAAGAGCAGGTCAAGGAGGGAGAGGAGCGTTGTTTGGCTTTGGACAATATTGCCTGTGATATTGATGAGGTCCTGTGGCCCGACCCAGCCCGATGACGTGATGCCGCAAAATGATTTCAGTGTCAACATACTGTACAACATACAGTACAACATACAGTACAACATACTGTACGACATGCTGTAATACAATAAATCAGACCCTTCACATTGTGTATTCTTACTGTATGTTGTATCTATTGTGTGTCATAGGTCCTATGGAGTTACTTATTTTTGCATTGAATTGTGATATAACTATAGTCTGACACTCTGAAAATTGTGTTTTCAATTGTTTTGGTGATGTGGTTAATGATTCTCAGTAGTGTTTACATTTTTGCAGGCCTTGAGAGGTATTTTGGTGTCAAAGTTTACTTTTGAGAATATGAACTGTTTTGGTGTGATGGGTTAGTTTTGAAAAGAGACTGTGAGGTTGTGTGTATGTAGCTTTAGCAAAGTGGTTTGTGTTTAGAGTAGAGTTTTGTGAAAAGAGAGGGCAGTATCATGAAATGTGTTTAAGCAATAGAGAAAAACTGTTAACCGTCAGCGTAGAAGCTTCAACTTCAAGAGTGCAGATGTCTTCTTCACAGGCTTTGCTATCTTTTGATACATAGTTTTCCCCAAAAAACTATGTATCATTACTTTCCGTTTGGTGAAAGTAATGTTAACACAGTGACAAAAATAAACCATCTTCATGTTTGCGTTTATGAAGAGCCACGTGAGTCACTCAATGCCTCTTTGGGTGGAGAGCTGATTGGCTGCTGCAAGGGTAATCCAGCCTACTCTCTCGTCAGATAAAACCTTTTTATTCTATGAGGACATAATGGCTCTTTACAGTTTTACAGAAGTACACAGCCAGAAGTTTGTAGGTTCAAACCCATGCCGACCTGCGCCTTTATTATGTGTGAAGTTTGCATGTTTCATCCATAGACTTTTCTCTGCATTGCTGGATGGGTTTCCATGGGTTTTGGGAGCTCCGTTTTCCCCATCACCCAAAACATGCACCATATAAAATCCTCCAGCTCCAGTCCTGACAAAGGGCATCAACTGACAGAGGCCCTTACGGCATTGCAGGATGGGTCAAATGCAGGGTACACATTTCTTAATGGGGATTATACAGTGTACCTAAACATCTTATATACGTATACTTTTTCTTTTACCAAAGTGACATACAGGTTGTTTCTTTTTTTTTTTTTTTTACATGACCTTGACAGGCCTCCTTTATTTTACATTTTATGTAGATAAAAGCCAAAAAAAAATCACACAAAGGATATTTTTGGTTTTGGTTTTTGATATTTTGTGTAGTTCAGAAACATTTTTTTTGTGGATAAGAATGATACACAAACACTAATCTGATTTGTTTCTCAGGCCGACTCCGAAGGTGGAGTGGATAAAAAAGGACGGGCGTCTGCAGGACACTACAGCGGAGGTGTCCAACTACGGCCGCTGGCTTCACTTTGAGAGCGTGGAGCTGAGCGACGATGGGGAATACCAATGCAGGGCCTACAACGAGCACGGAGAAACTAGACACGCCTACAGCATCACTGTGGAAGGTATGGGCAAGACTAAAGCAGGTCGAAAGCAGAACACAAGTAGGACTTGTGCAACACTGAAACAAGACTGAAAAGTAAGATTGAGTTGGACTGAGCAGGACTGAAGCAAGACAAAAGCAGGAAAAAACTCTTGTGTTCAATTTGGCTATATAAATATATGTTCTTTAGAATTTCATACTATGTGAAATGTATTATGGGTAAGCTGAAGAGATATGTACAGGCCTTCCGTGATCCAAACAACCACACGTCAACAGCATCACTGTGGAAGGTAAGAGCTGGACTAAAGCAGGTCTAAAGCAGGACAGGAGTAGGATTTGAGCAGGACTGAAAACAGGCTGAAAGTATATTGAGGTGGACTGAGCAGGACTGAAGCAGGACGAAGGAAAGGACTAAAGTAGGACTAAAGGAGGACTAAAGCAGATCGGAAGAATGACTGAAGTTGGATTAAAGCAGGACAAATAAAGGTCTAAAGGTTTGAACCAGCAATACCCTATCCAGAAAATATAATACATCCATGATCAAACTTCAAATAGAATCCATCTCCTTTTGTACACTTGTTTTAGGAAGACACATAGAAAGTGATTGTGTAGTTAACACCACTAGTGGACAACTTGAGGTTCTGTATGAATTCGGCTCTCAAACAAACTATTTTCAGGGAGCCAAATCTGTGTGCTGGAGCTGTTGATGTGGCAGTCCTACTTAAACCGAGGCAGATTTCAGCGCACTGGTTGCAAGGAGATCATTGAAAGAATGGAGTTGGACTATTTACAGTCTATGAGTTGGACACAATAAAAAAAACTGTCATAGCCCACAGGACTTCAAGCCCTGTGTTTCAAACAAGGGATATTGCACGGAATATCTACTTAGACATTCTGTTCTCTAAAGGGACAGATTGAGATTTTTTAACAGTAGTGTACCCTTGAGAAAGAATGTTGCTTCCAAACAAAGTCATGTGTGCATGTGTTGTGTTCAGCCGCTCCATACTGGGTGAAGGAGCCGCAGAACCTGATGTATGCTCCAGGAGAGAATGTGCGGCTAGACTGCCAGGCTGAAGGCATCCCCACCCCGACGGTCAGATGGACCATGAATGGATTACCCATGTCCCGTAAGCAACTGTACTTTGCAAACACACGATGGGTCTTTATCTATTGTATTTTCATTCACATTTTACAACTCATCCAGGTGCTTTCAAGAACAAAACAATCATGTGTTCATTTTGGCCATATAAATATATTCTTTTTTTATATTTCTTTACCATGTAAAATGTAAAATGGTAAGCTGAAGAGATTTTTACATGCTTTCCGTGACCCAAACAACCTGTCAATGAATTGAATCAATGAAATAAAATGTGTGCTTAGATGAATATCTTCCAGCATGCTTGACACCAGTAGTTGGTCATTGTAGCTTTGTTCTGACCCATGCTTTGGTAAAGATCATGTTTAAGCTAAATAAAAGTGCAGTTGTTGTTGTTGAAAGTGCGCGGTGTGCTGTCCCGTCACAGAAGTAGACCCCGAGCCTCGGCGGAGTGTGTCCGGTAGTGTCCTGAGGCTTCTGGATGTGGAGGTGTCCGACACTGCAGTGTTTCAGTGCGAGGCCCAGAACAAGCACGGCTCCATCCTCCTCAACACATACATCAACGTTGTGGGTAAGAGCTGGGAACAGTTATTTACTCTTACGCATTTGAATATTTAAAAACATATATATTAGGGTGGTCAAACAGATTGAAAATCTGATATTAAAACTGGGGCACCTTTCCCACGAATGAAACTACAGGTGAAATTATTATATCAACTTACGATATGAAACTAGTATAGGACATTAATTACATGCAACGTGAGATATATGAAGTCTTTATTTGTTGGCTCGAAGCTTGTAAAAACCTCAAATAAAACAGCAAAAAATTTGAATATTTTGAAAATGGACTGTAAGCCACAGGCAATAAAATGAGTCCAATATAATGAGTCTGTATCATATATTGGTTTCACATTTGACTAACAGAAATAAATCAACTGTTGAACAATATTATAATTGTCTTTCCCTTTTATGTATTATATCCATACTAGTTCCCGGATCTAAAGCATCCATCCATTTTCTTCCGCTTCATTCGTTGCCGGGTCGCGGTAGCAGCAGCCTAAGCAGACACGTCCAGAATTCCCTATCCACACACACTTCCTCCAGCTCATTCGGGGGGACCCCAAGGCGTTTTGTTAATGCTGATTATTCAACCACAGTTGAACCTGGACAAAATCTCACACAACAAACAGACATAGTTAGGCAATATTTTTACTTGTTACCCAGTCCAAGGAGAAAATGTCTTGACAGAGACAGAGCACACAGCTCAGGCTCTCTCAGGACAGGTCTAAAGCCTTCCCGTCTGCAAGGTCCTTTTGATAGTACAAGACACACTTTCATATGCAGATACCAAAGGAAGAACCAAATACACTCTGTATTAGTGTATACAAAGCCTGCTTCCTCCTGGTGTTTAACAGACGAGCCCCCCAGACTTCCTGGAGCCAAAGTGAATACAATACAACCTTTCAGTATACAATATATCTAGCCACATATAGGAATTATTAAAATGATAACTTAAACAACATTCCAATTACACGTTCCCAGGCCAGCTGAGAGATAGTCCCTCCAGCGTGTCCTGGGTCTTCCCCCGGTAAAAATCCCTAGGCATCTGTTCCGGATACCCGAGCCGCCTCAACTACCAGCCACTCTGAGGAGGAAGCTCATTTCTGTGGAGGAAGCACATTTCTGAGTGCTGACTGGGTTGTTGAGGTCTCCGCCTTCGACTGCTGCCCAGTCCTCTCTGCACCGATGCCCCATGGATCCTTCTGCGAGTGGTGGACCCACAGGAGGGCTGGGCCACGTCGTCCCTTCAGGCTGAGGCCACCAAACGCTTGCTTTCGAGCCCTAACCCCAGGCCTGGCGCCAGGATGGGGCCCCGGCTGCGCCATACCGGGCAACGTCACGGTTGTCGTGCCATCCACGGTGGCTTAGTCTGACTCGACACCCTGTTTGCCATGGGAGGCCCCACCAGGGGCATGAAGCCCTAGACAACATACCTCCCAGGATCATCCGAGTACTCAAACTCCCTCACCACGTTAAGGTGGCAGTCCAACGAGGAGGGTTAGTCGCGTTTCCACAAGCCCAGTTAATGCGTGTCTCTACAGCAGAAACCTCTCCCACAGGGCCCTTTACAGAAACTTTTGCAGGGCCCAACAAAGTACCTCCTCCATGCTAGGTACTCAGTTGGGCCCTGAACAGCTCCTGGTGGGCTTATGGTTAACCCGGCACTGATTGGCTAAAGCTAGAGCAGGCTGCTCTGACACCAGCAGAAAGCACCAAAACAACCCGGCATTTTTAAAATCCAGCAGCGTTAGCCAAGTAGCATTAGCCTAATGCTAGTTTCCAGACACTGGCTCTGTCACCGCCATAGAGAGCAGTTTTGCTGAGCTAAAAGCGGAGATCATGGCTGAAGACAGGATCGTGTCGCCGAAGATGACATGGACGGGGTCAAGTCAGAACTGACTGACGCCGTCAAACGCATTGCTTATTTGGAGACAAAGACTGAGCACTTGGAGAACCGAGGGAGGCGCAAGAATCTGAGGCTTGTGGGACTACCTGAGTCGCCCGAAAAAAACATGCCCATGGTGGAGTACGTTCAACACATGCTACCAATCTGGCGTGGCCTCGACACCTCCAGAACCTTCGCCTTGGAAATGGCACACCGCATTTTGGCGAAACCCAGACCGGGACCGAACAGAGCTGTAATCATTCGTTTCACTGTTTCAAGACCAGGAGTTTGTGTTTCAAATAGCCAAGAAGGGTATGATCACCCATGAGACCCACAAAATCTTCTTTGCACAAGACTTCTCAGTGTAAACCATGAAGACATGCAGCCCATTCAACGCAGTGAAGAAGGAGTTCATCAAGGCTGGATCCTTCAGGGGATTTCAACTGTATCCTTGCAAGATGAGGATTCTTCACGAGAGGAAGATAATTTCTTTATCCACACCTGAAGAAGCTGAAGACTTTCTATCTAACTAGCTTAATAACTTGAATACAGTGCACAATTTTTTATGTATTGTTTTTTTATACAATATTTGCACTTTTTTAATACAGGTATGTGGACTCTACCGTATTTGGTGGACACTTTTTGTTTTGAAAACCTGAGCAATTTTCTTTATGTGTGGTTGGGCTGTTTGGCGCTGAGTTACTATTAAAAAAAAAGTGTATTTAGGTCGAATTTTTTTAAATTTCATTTAATTATCTTTAATCCACATTTCAGCATTTTAACATGGATTAATCGCATTTTAATTAATATTAAATGCTGAAACGCGGGGTTGCTGGGGGGATCTAGGTGGGTTGTCAGGACGTAGCTACACTTTTGCCACTTGAAGTTTTAAAGGGCTTTGTTCTAATTTGTTCAATTCTTCTTTTTTAACATATTCTATGTCACACTATGTATGGATAATTATGCTCTTATTGTGGAAAATACTAAAATATCTGTTTTGAGATTTACGAGCTGGAATGTTAACCAAGCTAACCAAACTGAAACAATTCTTATCTGTACTTAGATTATCTCCTTCTAACTGGTGTCTGCCAGTAAGGTGGCTCCAAGACCCAGAGTTATTATATTGAAAATAAGATAAGATATTTATTTTGAAATTAATACTTATCAAACTACATCAATTAGATGGGAGGCATTCAAAGCATATATTATAGGGGAAATCATCAGTTAATGCCATTAATGGTATAACCACGCAATCAGGAGAGATCACAAATGATCCACAGGACATTAACAATGCATGTATTGATCACTGTATAGTGAATCGTAAATTCTGGTAAAGTGCCAGGGCCTGATGGCTTGCCTACAAAATTCTACAAAAGTTTCCAGAGGCAGTTGTTGACTCTTCTCTTTAATATGTTTAATGAATCATTTGATATCGGTAAACTGCCCCAACTTTAAGACTTGCTACAATAACACTTATTTTATCCCTTAAAAGACGATGCCATCGCCGACGATGGTGGCGCACATGTTTTACAAATGATCAATTTACTCGCGAACGGTGAACGCTAGCGACTTACCTTTTTTATCTCCGTGAAGTACACATTCCAGCCTTTCCGAAACTGCCTTCAGTTTGTCTCTGCTACATACGGGGGATAAACTACGTGTGTATGAAAGTCAGTCCCCCAAACGGATCTTCAAGCGGTGACCCGTGAGCCAGGCACAGCCGCATGTAAAGTTGTTTACACACACGGGGACTCAGACAAAGATTGTCAGAGAGTGAGATGGCTCACTCCTCTGTGTTTACTTGTTGCAGCATAGGCAGCAGCGCTCAGAGGAACCAGAGGAGTTCGCATTATTGAGAATAGACAATAATAAATACAGTAAAATGATATTATGTGTATATAATGTATTTATATATATAAATTTGATGTGTTTTTTTTTTTGTCTTAGTTTCTTTTGTTTTACATATTTTACAGCTGTGATACAGAAGCAACCACAGCCTCATAGACAAACTGCTTGAGGAAGGGCATCAGGAGTACAGCGTTTTTGGCTTTTATAGAGGAATTTTGTAAAAAGTATAATAGTTACGGATTCAAATTTTTTTCCCATTATCCCCAAGACCATAAATAACATTTCTCTGCAGTGTAAACAGTTGTTTATAACATTTCATTGTTTTTTTAAAATACATTTTTGTGAAATTGATTTTCCGTTTCGATTTTTTCTTTGTCTTCATGACTCCAATTTTTTTAATATAATTGATATGACAGCTCCAAAATATAGATATTCTAAAACCCCAGGTTGTAATGCAGCCAGCGAAAGTTCAATTTGGTAGACGTTAACCAAATTTACCCCTCCAGTATCAGTTACCTGTACCATTGTAGTTGGGGCAGCCATCATTCATATGCTCAGTAAAAAGCTTCAAAGACTATGTCCATGGTCCATCTGACCAGATAACTTGAAAGTGTGTCAAGGCTTGATCTGGTGTGGGACCGCTACTTGTCTGATTCTCTGAAAGTTGCTAGAAGAGCAAAGCAAAGGTGATGTAGCCATTCCCAGGAACTGGCCAAACTTTCTCAGAGTTGACAGCTATAAGACAGAAATATTTGCCTTTCTCTCAAAAGCTCTGCTTCCATTGTTACTGCAGGAGGAGACAGGGGAGGGAGTGATAATAGCTTGTTATCACTAGTGACATAGAAGTCCTCAGCAAGCTACCACTCCCGGATAGGTCTTTGATTGCTCCTCGGACACATGAGGAAGCCAATAGTCGCATGTTATTTGATACTGAAGGCTTTCGGAACTGGAAAGAGTTTCCGATACTTAGTAGCCCATGAAATTGCAGCAGGGCTAGGACCTTAGAAAGAATGTGCGCTACCACTGTTCCATACGGTGACCAGTTGCGACACTGTGTCAAGCTTTGTTGGCCATGGCTGGATGGCTGGTGTTTCCTGAACTTACGAATGCTCTGTTGAAACTGTCATCAACCCCAACTGAGATACCATAATAGGTGACAATTGAGAGGTTTGTTATCCTAACCAGCACTTGCACAGAAAGAGATTATTATAGGAAGTTATTGGCCAAGAGGCATAATGTAGACTCAATCCCTCCAACCAAGACTGCCCTGGATGAGTATGTCTAGAAAGCGGTATACCAAGGAGGTCATGTGTGGGGTCAAGTGCTGATGTCAACACCAGAACTACCTTCAACAGGAAAATGGGGTTGGTCAAAGACATCTGAGGGAAACTATGAATCCTTCTGGACATGCTTATCAGATGCAGGGAACTCCGGTTATGAACTTGTCTCTTGTAAATGTAACAAGGGTTGTGGGTCTGCTTCTATGAAGGTGAGTGTGAATAGTCTTCCTTGTGACAGAACCTAGATTTGGACTCACTTAACATACTGTATGTCTTGTGAGATAAAGCAAATATTCTCAGAAATTCTTCATTTACTTTACGTTTTTGCGTACAAACAATGGCGGCCATTTTCATTTGTATGAACATTATCCAAAAAAACACATTAGCAAGCACAATTTATCAAATTATGTGTACAATGTCACATTCTATCCATCACTCATAAGAAAACTGTTGTTTCTGGCATGATGCCTCCATATCCAAATCTTTTCTGTATGCTTTTGGCTATATATGACCAAATGTCATGCTTTTATCACAAACTGAACAATTCTTATACACATCTTAAGCTGCTGGACACTGAGGGTGGAGGGGGGGTGTTTGGGCCAGAAAGTTTGTATTCTAACACACTGCCACAACTGACTGTCTGTGATGATGGCTGGAGTCATGACCGCTCTGACGTGTAATCGGTTGCAGGAGATGGAGAAGCGGCTGCACAATGGTCAGGGCTTCATGTACAAAGTGTGGTGGCGCGAGGCGGGGAAGAAGGATCAACGCTGGAACAGCAACTCCACCAACGGCCCCCCCTTTGTGGTGACAGGCAGTGGCACGTACACCCCCTTCGAGATCAAAGTGCAGGCCGTCAACGCCATCGGGGACGGGCCGGTGCCAGAGGCGGAAATTGGCCACTCCGGAGAGGATGGTGAGCACCCTACCCTGGGCCTTTTGGAAAAATGTTGGGTGTTTGTGCCAGAAGTTTGTAATATTAGCGTGATTGGCGCTAAACAAATCCACCACTGTATTTGTTGATGAGAAAAAAAGTATTTTGCAAGGTTCTTACACAACCTTTGATGTAAGTGTTTGGCAGATTGTATAATATTTGAAGCTGTTTTAGAAGTCGTTTTTCAGATATTTTGATAAGATAAGATAAGAGTTCCTTTATTCGTCCCACAGTGGGGAAATTTTGTTGTTGCAGCGCACATACAGGACAGTAGTAAGAGCACACAGGGAGCAGACAATATATACAAAATACGTAGTAGCTATGTTTGTGAATTTGCATACAGGCTCAAACATTTATTCAAAATTGCAGATTTTGGTGCAGATATGACTTGATGGAATAATTCAGAATGGAACAATGTGGATTAGCAAAAAATTCGGTTATGATTTTAACATATATGACCCTCTGGGCTGAGAGATGATTGGTCTTATTTTTTCATTTCTTCTAATTTAAAGATGTGACAGTTTCCAAAAAACATGCCTGTAAAGACTGACCAATCTGTTTTAGAGTAAGATTTGTATTTCATTTTATTTATCTAAAAAGAGACCATGTACAATTAGAACATAAATGTTTCCATTTTTATGCATTGTACCGAAGTTAGCCTTAAGCTAATATATATCCGTAATCCCCCGGCAGGGAAGAACTTCATAGATTTTCACCAAGTGTGTTCTCCACAGTGCCCCTTGAGGCCCCTGGTGGAGTCACAGTCAGAGTGATGAACAGCACCATCAGAGTCAAGTGGAATGAGGCTCAGAACGTACGTGGACTGTTGCTGGGATACAAGGTACTCCTCTTCCCTAGACACTTCCCATCCAGTCTGCCAGTCTCATTTGATTTATTACTGTAGTCATATTTCTGAGCGAGATACAAAGAGACAGAATGTTGAAACAGCCTCTTCCTCTTCAGATCTACCTCCGTAAACAGGGCCCAAAAGCAGAGCGCCGCCGCAGGTCACTGGAAGAAGTACAGTTTGATGAGCATGACGATGAAGAGATGCAGCAAGAGGAGGAGATGGAGCGTGTGGTGGAGGTCCGAGGCATGAGGACCTCTGAGGAGATTACGGGACTCAAGCTCTACTCCATATACCACCTGTCAATCACAGCCTTCAACAGCAAAGGACAGGGCCCGCCTTCTGCCGTGGAGCGCTTCGAGACTCCGGAGGGAGGTAGGCACTTAGAGTCATTTATACAAGGTTAATTCAGACAGGGTTGAAATGGTTAGCAGTGCTTCTAAGTTAATTCATATGAAGATGAAGATTCAAATTGGAAGACCTGGTTTATCTAAACACTGCACAGTTTATGTAAAAATTCCACCTGCCAATGTTCAAAAGACATTTAATTTAAAAAGAAAATTAGTAAGAGAGCAAATAATATGAACCACTACAGAGACAATAGTTATTGTTATGGTTATTACCAGTAGGGTATAAGAACATTCACCATTAAAATAAAACAAATAATAAAACAGGGGTATATATGTAGTTATGTGAAAATATTTGTGTGTATGCTTGTGTGTATTATGTCTTTATAGAGAACATTTAATATTTCATAAGTTGGTGTACTGAGTGTAAAATAGAGGTGCAACAGTGATTGGTGTTGCTTTGGCGGGCATTGGCGCGGTCTTTTGGGCTGGTCCTTTGTCATGGGAGGTGGATGCTGCGATGGTGACTGGTGGTGTGGAGGGGCGGTGGACCTACGTCATGGTGAGGATCAATGGAAACGCAATGAGTTAAGACCTCCCTTTCTAGATTGGATTTGGTTAAACCAAGAATAACGAATAATGCCTGACGGTGGAGCTAAGAGAGATAGATTTGTGGGCGGCACGGTGGATAGCACTCTTGCTTCTCAGCAAGAAGGTCCTGGGTTCGAATTCCGGTCGGAACAGGGCCTTTCTGAGTGGAGTTTGCATGTTCTCCCAGTGTCTGCGTAGGTTTCCTCTGGGTACTCCGGTTTCCCCTACCACTAAAAACATGTACAAGAGGTCTGGCAAGCGCCTCCTGTACTGGCAACCCCGCTCCCGCCCCAGATAGCCTTCCTCCAGTGGATTTTTGCCCAATCTGCTTGTTTCGAACCATGAATCCGCTTCGGTCTGGACCAGTGCAAAACCATGAACACTGCACTGCAACAACATCTCAGGTAGAAAAAAGCAAGAAAGATAACAATTGTAAAGCACAAAACAACAACTGTTTCAGAGCAACTTACGACTTGCTGCCGTTTTCCACCCATTCAAAAGTAAGACAGTTACACACAATTTTCACAGTGGTGATAATCGGCTATCCAGGGTATATAGAAAGCACTGAAATGAGCTCAAATCAAACTCTATAGAATTGATTAAATGCCTTTTCATCTGAAAGAATAAAACAAGTAAATGATATGAACAACCAGTGATTGCTCATGGTGTTGTTAGGGCCTGCTGTGTGCTGGTTCATCCGTCCTCTGCATGGTTTGTCTACTGTTGTGATAAATGCTTCTTGCGTCTATAGGACTGGCATGGGTTGGGGCACTGGGTCTTCTGGGGCACAGTTATCATCGTTGCAGATTTAGCTATATTGAAGTGTTAAAACGCACTGAACACAACAAGTTATTATAAAGTGATCATTATTAAATGCCATATAACTTGCATTTAATTATGTTCATGGGGTGGGAGTCTTAAGTTCTTTCTCACTCCATTTCAAGCTGACAAATTGTAAATAGAAATGCATTTGTAAATAAATATTGAAATCTCAAATATACAACACATGGTGAAACTAGGGCAAATACTGTTGCTTAATTGTATACAGTATTTATGTAGATTTATTTGCACGTGTAAGGATTTTTGCACTCCTAGCATAGGCAACTTGTTCAAAAGGTCATGTAAAATGAGGAATGTAAATATTATAAATACTTATGAATGTAAAATATCTGCTCGAATGAATAAAATCAATCAATCAATATGGGGTTCAACTGAATAGCAGTACTTCTAAATTCAAAGTACCTCAACACATGTATTTGAGGCACATGTATTTTAGAAGCCATGCTTCTAAAATCATAACCAGAAAAGCTACATTTTGCTACATGGTTTTATTAGTATATTCAGCATGTGTATGAATATCTTCTACAACTGTAACCTTTGACCCGTATCGTAAATATTATCTTTCAAAAGTGAGGTCCTTGAACCAGTCTGAATATGTGAGGTCTTTGAATCAGTCTGTAAATATGTGGTGCTTGTACTCAGCTCCAGGCCCTCCCGCCTTGCTTACCTCGGACAGCTCCTCAGACACCTCTCTGGTCCTGGTCTGGACTCCTCCAGTGGAAACCAATGGCATCCTGCTGGGATACATCATTCAGTATCAACAAGGTGAGATCATTTCCACACATGTAGCAGTTACACAATTTTATCAATCAATCAATCAAAGTTTATTTGTAGAGCGCAAATAAACACAAGGAATTTAAAAAAAATAATAATAATAACAACAGTGCATTAGAAATGGAGATAAAATCCTTCAGTTGTATGCACAGGCAAACAGAACAGTCTTTAACCTGGATTTGAACATTGACAGAGAAGACGCCTCTCTCACATCTTCAGGGAGATTGTTCCAGATCTTAGCTGCATGGATCTGAAACGCAGTCTCCCCATGTTTAGTTCTCACTCTGGGCACCAGCAGGAGGCCAGTCCCTGTGCTCTTCAGAGTCCGGGCTGGTTCATATGGCATCAACATGTCACTAATGTATTTTAGTGCAAGGCCATGGAGAGACTTGTACACAAGCAGAGCCGTTTTAAAATCTATTCTCTGAGCCACAGGAAGCCAGTACAGAGACCTGAGGACCGGACTAATGTGGTCGTATTTCCTCGAGCTGCTGCATTTTGGATGTACTGCAGCTGTTTTACAGCCTGTTTGGACAGACCTGTGAGCAGGCCATTGCAGTAGTCTAACCTACTGGAGACAAATGCATGGACAAGAATCTCCAAGTCTGCTTTGGACACTATATTTCTAACTTTGGCAATGTTCTTCAGATGGTAAAAAGCTGTTGATGTTATTGATTTTATGTGGCTATTGAAATTTTGGTCTGAGTCCAGTATTACCCCTAAATTTCTCACCTTGTCTGAAGGTTTTAGGGAGAGAGACTGAAATTGACAAATGACGCCCTCTCTTTGTTTCTGGGGACCAAAGACAATCATTTTGGTTTTGTCTGCATTTAGCTGGAGGAAATTATTTTGCATCCAGTCACTGATCTGTTCGATACAGTGAATGAGCAAATCCAGTGGTCCATGTTCTCCTGCAGTCAGTGAAACATAGATCTGAGTGTCGTCAGCGTAATTGTGGTAGGACACTTTGTTTCTGCATATTAACTGACCCAACGGCAGCACGTAGAGATTAAATAGGATCGACCCCTGTGGCACTCCACAGGTCAGGGCCACATGATCTGAGACGCAGTTTCCAATCTCCACAAAGTACTTCCTATATTCCAGGTAAGACCTAAACCAGTTTAGGGCTGTGCCAGTGACAGCAACCCAGTCCTCTAGTCTCTGCATGAGGATCTCATGGTCGACAGTGTCGAACGCGGCACTAAGATCTAACATTACTAAAACTGTGAGATTTAGAGGTAAATTCTAGGGGCAACTTTTCAGGGGCATTCGTTAATCTACCAACTGTTGAAAACATAACACGAAGATTTTAGCAACCTATCTAAGTGGGATTAATTAGACAAATGTTGCTGCTAGATTTATTATGCATCAAATTAATACTTTAAACCAGCTGTGCTTAAGATAATGCTACATTTAAGGTTTACTTATGTCCTGTTGGGAAATTTGCCTTCATGCATTTGCTTTAATGCCACAATAGGGCAATTGGTCTCTACAGTACTCAAATGTTGTGTTTCTTACCGTGATGCAAGGCAATGTCTTGGCTTCTCGGATCATCGTGTTTTTAATTCCCACCAGATTTCCCATTCCTCCAGGTGTCTCTTCTCACCGCGTTTGTAAAACTATATATTATAATAGATCCATGGTATAACAGCTCTGTGCAGCTATTTATCAAACTAAAAGATTCTTTCTAGTGGTCCGGTGAATTACCAGGTGTAGGGGACCACTGTCAATCACGACATATGGTCCTCGAAGGCTTCCATAGTGTTAGACTTGCATCATATGATCTCAACGCTAGATGGGAGTAAAACTTCACAGTGTACCTTAAGTGGCCATTTGTACTCGGATGGCCTCATGCGATGAAACTGATTACTAATGACACAAGACAACCAGATGCAGTACTGCAAGTAATGCAAGTGCAGAGGACACAGACATGCAAATATTACAGATGTACTGTACATATTTGGATGTATGAAGGCTACTCATTTTGATAATTTCAATAAAAATCAGTCCCTTCACCGTAGTGCATCCTTTTGTTGTGAACAAAATTTTTCTGCAGATAGAAATTGACAAAAGACGTGGCTAGACTTATTGTCTAGTGCTTCTACTGAATGTAAGAGCGCTCCAGTTTGAGTGCTGATGAAAATTTATGATAAGGCAGCAACAGTCAGTGGCTCTGCCCCGGGACACATGATGCCATGTGTATCCAATCTCAGATACAGAAAGATATAGAGTTGATCATTGTTTTATCCTCCTTCCCTGTTGAACATGAACCTCTCGTGATCTAATGGAATTGGGATGGCCTGCACTGCTTGAAAATCCAAGCGACACACAGAGTTTGCACTGTTTGCCTGCATGTAGAGTGCACTTTGAAGACAACAAACCTAATCACAAGATTTATTGGAAAACTAATGCAATTAGTATGTGGACAAAATGGTTCAGCCCTAATAGAAGTCTCATTTCCACTGTAGAAAAACAAATTCTCTTCCTTCCACACTTAACAACACAAGTTGACCGTTGCTTACATGTTGTCATGCATAATGACAACACAGCAAGCCTTACCATCAACGTTTGTGCTTCTGCATTTGCTTGCCTTCCTTCATAAATTTGTCCTTGTACAAACTATGGTTGAAAATAATGACATTGCTCCAAGTGGAGGATAAACTTGCAATAGTCCAAGTCTGTAGCGGTGACTTTATAAAATGTATTTTCAAATTCATAAGTTTGTTTGGACTCTTTTACAGGTCCAAACCATAGACTGTATATATTAATGGACAGAGTCACGCCTATCTCTGCCGTTCTAAATAATGGGCCAAAAAATGTGCTCTACTGGAGCAATCCAAAATGGTCGCGAGTGGTCCCGCCCACAAGAAAAATGTGAAAAAACGCATCTGCGCATGTGTCAGCCGGCGCAACTCCATTCATTTGAACGAGAGACTTAAAAAATTCACAGCAAGTAAACTAGAGTGGACCAAAAAAATCCACCCCCCTCAGCATTGACACACATGTGGAACGGAGCTTTGGGCCAAGAGCCAACTTTTGGTCCATCCTGTAAAGACGTTTTTGAGAGGTCTGCCAATGCTATATGTTAGCATTGGCTAATTCTACTTCTGGGTCTACCCCCATCGGCCCGGGGTGGTATTGCAAGCATGTCAGCGCACGTCATTTTGGCCACTTTTGAGCTGGGACCCTCCCCCACTGGTCCAAACACACAGGTCCCATGTTGACACACTGTGGGACAAAGAAAGGATCTTACAATACAATACAATACAATTTATTCTTGTATAGCCCTAGGTCACAACAGAAGTCATCTCAGAGGACTTAACAAAACCATTGAAATCACCAACACAGGTCAGAAAATCAACAGCCAAAACACATGGAGAATATAAAGCACACACAGAAGAAAATGTCCATACATGTTGTAGAATGCTAAAGTGTCCTGATCATCACCAATCCTTTCTGTTGGACACTAACTGTCCAACAAGACCCTCCTACATCAACAAGGAAAAACTCTTAAAAAACCCAGTGGGAAAAAGTGAGAAACCATCTTAATCTTAAAAAAGCACGGAACTGCAGTGTCTGTGCGCGTGTGTTCATGAGTGTGTTTGTGTCTGCGCAGAGGAGGGTGGGGACCTGGAGTACCTTTTCATCAGTGATCCTAGTACCACCCACACAGAGCTGCAGTCTCTGAACTCTAGCTCCTACTACCTGTTCAGTGTGAGAGGGCGGACCGCGGCTGGTGACGGGCCCGCGGTGAGGCTCCGAGCAGCCACACAACTGGACGGAGGTGAGGCCCATGGTTCTTTTTCAGAAACCCCCTCCCAGTGCATGTGGCCGACTCAATAACTCAACAATAGCGTTTGTTGAGACAGACACTATTTACAGCTGAAATATGTCCTGCATCAACATGTTTGCACATTTCTTAATTTTTGCACAATCTTTAGTGTTTCTACCAATGCCAAATGTGACATGTAAATTTCTCCTGTGTGAGATTAATAAAGTATATCTTATCTTATCTTATGTTTAAATACTGGAAAAACTATGGACACATTTGACTAAAGTTTGAAATCTTGAGTAAAATGTTCTGTGTCGTTTCACAGTTCCTCCGTCAAACGTCACCATGTATTTTGGAGACACGTATTTGAACCTGAGCTGGGTCCCCGGTCCCAGAGAGGGAAACCATGGCTTCCACATCCACTACCTGACCAAGAGCGGTGCGAACTGTCACTCATTATGTTACACCGTTATTTCACATTCATTACAATGATGGGTCTCGAGGGTAAGACAAAGACTCACACAATAACAAGGGTAAACTACTATAACATGGGCAAAAGCTGTGAAAATGTTGTATGTTATGTCCTGTTTAAGTTAAGAATATGCTTATTTTTTAAACTGACTTCTTGTTGAGGCTCTTTTGCATTTGATCTGGTTTATGTAAACTTTGTCCACAAAGATGTTTTAGCAAAATCCAAAAAAGAAACTATTTTAAATGACAAACTCAAAATATTCTAAATTAAAAGTGATCATAAAAATGACGAAAAACAATTAATATCCACAAATGGACACTAGATCTAAGCGTTCAACCCGAGAGCCCCAAACCAGATCCTTAAGAAACTCAGCAAACATGAACACATCAGTGGATAATAGGTAGAACGAACTTTCAAACCATAAAATGGTTCGTGTCATGAATTCCTGGTTCTAAAACAGTTTTATCACTAGTTTTCACATGCCTTCATTATGCAGACAGAAAGGTGAAAAAAACAGAGGCCTGCCCTCACTCATCAGCTCTCAGCCCAAAGAGTACTTTTTTTTTTCTTATAAGATGAAGACCGCAAGACTTTTTCACAATATTTTACATGGCACAAACAATGTATGATTTAAGAGGAAAAGGGTTAGGATTTTCCAATGAAGAAAACACTAACATGTCTTGTTTTTAAGAGAAAGGACCAGTCATTTCTTACCTTTATATGAGAAAAATTCCATTATGCTACTAAAGTGACTTGTCTAATCTGATAGTCAATAAAGTTTTGTAGAAAGTAAATAAATACAACACTCTGTTTGTAATCTCATTGTAAAAATCAAAGTGTCCCTTTAATATTTGGTGTGTGTGTGTGCGTGTGTGTTGCGTTGTGTTGTGTTGTGTTGTATGCTACAGCTGGAGCGGCCTGGCGACAGTCGGAATTGGTAAACTCATCCCAGGGCTTCTACACGCTGAGCGGACTGGAGCCTGGGACAACCTACCACCTGCTCATCCTGCACCACAACAGCACACAGTGGGAGCAGATTGTGCAAACCAAAGGACCAGGTGTGTGTCCAGTTCCATATGGTCTGTACAGACATGAGACCACGCATTTCCCTTCCTAAGTCACAACGTTACTGTACATATGCATGAATGGTGGTCTGCTTTCAGCCCTCATTTTTGAGCACTAGTACTTGGACAGTAGCTGGTTTTTGGTACCAGTTCCTGAGCAGTTCATTTTCTTGTGTCGAGCACAGAATGAAAATGATTCCAATATTCACCAATGCCAATTAAATTCTGCATCATTTATTAGAATGAAAAAAAATAAAAATACTTTTGACCGCCCTAGAGCTGTCTCCCATGTCCTTTAAGCTGGTCATACCCCAGTGTGTGCTACATGTAATGTGTGTGTTGTGTTGTGTGTGTTGTCGCAGAGCTGTCAGAGATGCCTGGAGGGTTTGCCACTCAAGGCTGGTTCATCGGACTCATTAGCGCCATCATCCTGCTGGTGTTGATACTACTGATCCTCTGCCTTATAAAGCGGCGCAAAGGAGGCAAATACGCAGGTGATTGCTCTTGAAAATTAGAGAGGCTTTTGATGGAACAGAAGTTGTGGGATAGGCTAGAGGTTCATGATAATAGTCTATTTCAGGCTGATACAACTGATAATGAGATACTTTGTCATTTCAGATTTTAGAACTGAAAGAGATTTGTGAATTTGGAGATCTTGTGAATTTATATCTTCAGTAGAACCTATATGAACAATGTATGGAGGGTGAAAATGCTTTCTGCCTGGAACTCCCAATGAATTTGTTTTTTATGCAATTGTAATAAGAAGCGTAATTTCACCTGAAAAAATACAGAAAACTGCCTTGAGTGAGATGTAATAGACACCATCTTATAAGAAGTTACATATTTTGTCTACAAATTCCTGATATTAGTGTGGATGGATCTAAAAACTCACCTGTGCCATTGTGTTTACTCACCTGTGCCATTGCCTGAAATAAATGAATAAATTAAGAAAAAAATGAAATGAAAACCACTCGAGGCCTATGATGATGTCACAAAGTCAATTTTGTATATATCTCCTTATATATAAAACTGTGTGTGTGGTTCAGTGGGATATTTTCAGCACAGTCTAAGAAAAGAAGACATGTACGAAGCCCTGAAAAGGAGGATAAATATTATATTATTCTTATTATTATTTTGTGTTTTCCAGTGAAAGACAAGGAGGACAAAGAGGTGGATTGTGAAGCTCGGCCGATGAAAGACGAGACCTTTGGAGAATACAGGTAAGTTTAAACTAAATCTACCTGCATGACGTTAAAGGAATACATAGAAAAAAATATATGGAGACCGACGTTTTCATTAGTTTGAAGCACCGTGAAGAATAGATTATAGATAGAAACAAACTGTTTTAAAAATCCAAACGTTACGTTTTTGCTTGTGTTCTATGACTGCACTAAACTTTCTCCATTTAGAGGCTTCTTAATAACAAAGTATCAATTGATAACATTAAAAGTTTACTGCCTGGAAATACTAAGTCAATGTACGATTCCAACGGAAGCCTGCGTCTAATTGATCCTAAAGCATTTGTCTCATTTGCATAATGCATTTGAAGTTATTCTATTGGATCTCTTCTGCCTGCTCTTCTGTGCGTTATGTTGACATCCTAAGCTTTTCTGTTAAATCTGTGCTGTCTCTTTCCTTTCCATGCTTTCCTTATAGATCACTGGAGAGGTGAGACAAAACTCTGAAATGGGCTGCCTGGTTTAGTTATGAAACAGCCAGGTGAATATTAGACATGCCAATCTATCTATTGTTTTGGCATCGCGTCAGGAAGGTGAAAGTAAAAACCACCTTGAAAAGGCTCTATGTTTGAGTACGAAAAAGCATGTAAGTGACATCATTCAAGCATGTTGTCTATCTATGTCAGAATCAGAATCAGAATAATTTTTATTGCCATGTAAGTAACAAACAAAAGTTTCCACTTGGAAATTGTTCTGGCAGAGATCGTGCCACTTCGCCATTTGCGGCGCTGTGTGCAAGCAAGAAACAGCAGAGAGCAATAACATACAGTTTCACAGACAATTGGATAGACACATTGTGCTTTGTGTAAAACAAGATTTTTTTTCTCGGGATGAGCACCTCCGACTGCCGGCCCAATGTGGCTATCAGAGGGGGGCAGGGTCAGGGAGGGGGTGAGCCGGAAAGACAGTGAGGAGTGGACTACTGTCACATCAATTAAAACAGTCAACAACATCAGGTTCCATAACAACTATCATGGATGAAGGTGGACATGTGCTAACAAACCAAAAAGACATAAACAGAGAGTTCAAGCTATTCTACGAGAAATTATACACCTCTGAAGCTGGTAATGCGACTCAAGTCAAAAGCTTTTTCAGTAACGTGACAATGTCCTGGTGGACAAACATCTGTTGGAGACAGATGTCGCCCTCTCTGAAATAGGTAATGCCATCAGCAAAATGAAATCTGGTAAGGTGCCTGGCCCAGACAGGAATCCAATTGAATTGTTTATAACATTTGTCCCTAAATTGGCCCCTTTGTTGTTAAAAGTCTTCAAAGAGTCTTTGGAGAAAAAATATCTCCCTGATACAATGACTCAAGCTACAATTTCATTATTATTGAAAAAATCTAAAGATCCATCCCTCTGTGAATCATATCATCCCATTAGTCTTCTTAACTGTGACTATAAGATTTTGGCAAAAGTGCTGGCAGGACGAATGGAGACTATTCTCCCAAAATTAATACAGGATTTGTCATGGGGAGATAAATATCAAGTAATCTTGGGCGAGTGTTTAATGTGGTTTACCAACGGAATGATATAGAGCCCGAAGTAATAATTTCTCTTGATGCGCATAAAGCGTTTGATAGAGTTGAATACAACTTACACCGAAAAGAATGGGTTTTAGCCCCAAATTTTCCTCGTGGATCAACAAATGAGAGGGTTTCCTCTTTTTTCCCTCCAAATCGCGGTTGCAGGCAGTGGTGCCCGCTGAGCCCAATCCTGTTTGATTGCTAGTGAACCTTTGACAATCATGCTGAGATTCCCTCAGCACAATTAACTGGAATAAGGAGAGGATGGCACTGTCAAAAATTGTCTCTATATGCAGATGACCTCCTCCTCTTCCTCTCGAATCCACAACAACTATTCCCATCGCTCTTAACCTTATAAATTGGTTTGGGCAAGTCTCTGGGTACAAATTAAATCTATCTAAAAGCTTCTTTTCCCAATAAATAATAAAGGTAAACAATTAAATTTACAAGGTTTCCCCTTCACAGTCAATATGGACCATTTTAATTACTTAAGTGTATGTGTGACCTTTAATTGTGATCTACTATTTCAAAACAATTTCCAAAAGGCACTTGATAAAGCCAAACAGGATATGGAATGACCTCTATCTTATGGAGAGGTGGTCAAAATGACCTCTGTCTCTTGTGGGGAGAGTTAACTCAGTGAAAATGATACTAATGCCTAGGCTGTGCCAGTTTTCATCCCTAAATCCAATAGTCACATGTCACATGTCCATGTTCATCTGGAGAAAGAGCATCCCTCGAATAAGAACGGAATTCTTCAAACAACGAAAAGAGGTTGGAGCGCTATCCATACCTAATTTTCTCTATTACTACTGGGCAACAAACTTGCGTAAGCTGCTGATGCATCGGAATCAGAGTCTCCATCTTGGGTCCACCTTGAATAGGCTGGTAACCCAGTTTCTCTTCCACTCCCTCTGAGTAGAGGCCAGTCAACAAATAATGTGGTAGTGTGCGGTGCCTCAAAAATATGGTCGCAATTTAGGACTCACTTCAAATTCAAGCATCCTCTAATTGCAGCTCCTGTCCAGGGCCATCTTTTGGGGAACTTTTTCCGATACCTCCAAATACGTGATTGCCTTTTGCCTTGTGCCTAACTCTTTACTGCCTTCTCTTTGACTCTGCCTCCAAATACTTGGTTTGATGAGTGTTTGGGTTTAAATCCGTCTGACAAAGGCATGGTGTCCGGCATTTTTAACAAAAAACGAAGAGCTGCATCCCCATCCTTAACACACCTGAAAAGGAAGGTAGGAAGAATTAGGTGACCATATCACAGATGCAACCTGGCATTCTGCCATCACAAGAATCCACTCATTATCTGTATTAGACATGGACTGTAACAGTTTAAGGTGCTTTTGATGCGCGTTGTTTAACGCTGGGTCCGGTATGAACCCGCCTTGGTGCTTGAAGCTCGTGACGCGCTTGACGCGCCTGACGCCGGGTGGGAGGAGCTTCTCTGTTGCTGATAGTCCAGACACAACGGTGGATTTCCAGAGAGCAGCGAGCCTTTATTTGTTATATAAAGCCAAACAACGTTGTCGTAGGGTTTCTACAAAACGTATTCTAGGTTCACCACAGACTTGAGAGCCTGCAGTGTTTGCTGAGTTTCACCATTTACTCCAGGAGCTGCGTACAGATGAGTTTCGCTTTCAGCAGTACTTCCGCATGTCACTCGCCCAAGACGAGTACCGGCACCCCGCCTCGCCCCCGCCTGGAGCTTGCATTGATTCCCACGGAGGAGCGCCTGTCTATCAGCAGACTGATAGACAGTCTGAGCCAGACTCAGCGTCAGCTTGTTCTTATATTAAATATATTACTTTAACTTCACAGCATGTGTACATTAATTGTGTTACTTACTTATTAAGAACGTTACTACTCATACAAATAATATTACTAATTACAATAATGATAATAAAACAGCAGTAGCAGCTACATGACTTCTTTCCTGCTGCTGCTCTTCATCTCCTGATTGGTTGAAGTCTGGCGTCAAGCTTGAAAAGCTCAGCTTTTCTCAACTTTGGCGCCAGGGGATTTTTTGACGCGGAAAGAGAGAGCTTGTGTAAGCGTTGCGCGTGTCAAAAGCTTCAAGTGACACGCGTAATGCCGTAATGTCTTTTTAAGCTTTTGACGCGCATCAAGTGACACCTGACGCATTAAGTGTCACCTGACGCGCTTTACCATTCATTTTCAATGCAAACCTGACGCTTTTGAAGTTGAGTCCGGAGTGAAGGCACCTTTTTTCAGAGAAGGCGACTGTCAAAACAAACTGAGAGAAGACACAGCATGAGCTCGATGATGCCACCCCAAATTAGTTCTATCAAGCTCCAACTAAAACCAGTTTTACGAGTTTCAACCCAGTATTCAGCAGAAAATACAATGACTGTCATTGAAGCATGAATCCATGTTTCACTCTCTAACTGCGCTTGGTAAAATATATAGATATGACACACCAGCACCCCTTCAGCTGTTTTACAGTAGACTTTAGAACCATGCACACAGACACACGTTCAATATAAGACTTTAGAACCACAGACACACGTTCAGAATAAGACCATATATGTTTGCATTTGACTGAAGACAGACACTCACCATTTCTCTCAAACTCAACATCTGGAGCTGGGACATAGAGTTGAGGCTTCTCCCTCGGTGTTGCGGGTATTGACGTGTTAGCGTGTTAGCGTGTTAGCTGGTGTCCGTAAATATAATCCATTTTGTCAAACCACCTACAGACTTTTCCATTCTATCCACTTTCACTGCTGTGATCTTTCATTTCACGGTAGTCACTTTTACGCTTCTTAACTTTTCTCTGCACTACGATGTCCCTGATATCCATTCCTTCGTCTCTAGCACCATCTTCGCTAACACTTATACACCAACGAGCTCAAACTGAAGATGTTGACTGCATCCGCAAACCGTGTACGTCACTTCCAGTCTAGGGTCTGTCAAAATGAGTTTTATTTAACAGAAAAAGACCACAATACACCAAAAAAATGAGAATAGGTCCCTTTTAAAGATGTTTCTACTGACACCGGTCAATTTTATGCCACAAATGTCAATAGAAATTAGATGAAAGGACAAGGAAAGAGAAACTGGTATCAGAGAAACTGTTATCAAATCGAAGGCAGGATGAGTTCTGTGTTCCTAGATCTGTGATTGGTTGTCAGATTTTCTGCTCGAGGTTCTGGGAACAAATACGGCGGGTTTCAGACCCGTCTGCGTTCACAAATATTAGAAGTCTACTCTAACTAAAATCAATCTATTACATGGTCAAACCTATGATGTCACTTTTGCACATCACCTCCCCTTTAAACCACTGACACATATTTCCTTTGGCGCATTTGCAGTGACGGAGATGAGAAGCGCTCGGACAGCCAGCCCTCCTTGTGCCCCTCCAAGGCTAGTGACGACTCCCTAGCTGAGTACGGCGACAGCGTGGACATCCAGTTTAATGAAGATGGCTCCTTCATCGGCCAGTACAGCGGGAGAGGAGCGGCTCCCAACGAGAGCTCGGGGCCCGCCTCACCCATGGCCACCAGCCCTCCCCCTCCCATACCACTCATACCATCCATACCACCCAACGCACTGCACCGGCACAGCTAGACACATAGACACACACACACAGGGAAGGAAATGACTTGGATTCGGAATATATAATAGCAATATCTCCATGACTTTTATTTAGTGTGGGATAAAGTTCTTTTTAAAACTGGAAGTGTTTGTCAGTATAATAAGAATGGATATTAAAGCTGGGGTTCTAAACTTAAACAAAAAAATTTTACTTGATGAAAAATAAATGAAAATTGTATGTAATAACATCCATGTAACAATCCTTGCTCTCAAAACAGTTTGCTTCTATCACTATTTTCCACATGATTTTGGCCTCTGTCACATCTTAAGATCAGATTTTTCAGACAGAAAAAGATTCGTTATGAATGTCCACTTCAAGTACCTACTGAGTCGTATATTCTGACTGAATGCACTAACAATAGTATAGTTTTACGTTATTTTTGTGGATCGACTTTAAGCTGTTGTTCCACTCACAGATGGTGTACATACTGTAACTTAAAGTATTTCAAAGTTAGAACATCCTTATGTTCTAACTTTTAAATGTCCGTGTGTTCCTGATTAGCTTGTCAGTACAAGCTAATCAGGGCAATGCACATGTATTCGGGCTGTAACAAATTAATCGCAACTAATCAATTAATCTAGTAGTTAACTATTTTTAGCAAATATGGTTATTATCACTTACTGCTAGAGGCCATGTACCCCTGGTCAGGAAACCCTGATTTAAAGAACTAATCGAAAGATAAATCAATAAAGTATTTTTCATAATAGCCCTAGTAAATATATATAAAGATCTATGCACTAGGATATATTATCACCTCTTGTCCCCACTCTGGATCCAAGGCAGCCTTCCACACCGTCACCAGTTCAACATAAAACCCACGTTTTAAAACCACTCCATATTCTGTTCCCAATCCAAGTCACGTGCAGGCGAGAGGACGGCCCTGTTCCACTTCTATCTCAGTACATTCCACAGGTTAATGCAGTTTACATCTTTTCAACACATGTATTGAATCTTCACTAACAATGCAAGTGTGGAGGGAATTTTCAGGGCATAAAGGGACATCTCCTCCATGTACAGACTCTTATGTCATATTTTTACGCTACGTTTATGTTTGTTGGCCACGTTGAACTCACTTTTTCACACTTCACATTTTTGGTTTGACATTTGCAGAATACAACTTAATTCAGTTAAAAGCTGTAAGAAGATGGCACATGAGCCAATAGTGACTGGATTTGTGGATTGCCTCAGGGCATCTTCCTTCAAGCTTTGGAAAAAACTCCCAATAAACCTGAGCAAAACAAGGACAAGACATGCTGAGCAGGACAGCCAGACAGGACTGAAGAAGGGCTAAACCAGGACAAACCAGAGCTAAATAAGGTCTGGACTAAAAGCAGTTCTAATCAACCACTAACGCCCTTGATTGAGAGATATTCATAAATCAACTTTGTCCAAAGATTTTGTGAAGAAAAATGGCTAATATAATATGAACAATACAGAAAACCCTACCTTTAAAGTATAGGAAGGAAATGTAATCATACCAGTGTTTGCCAATACATCTTGGCAGGGCAATAATAGATGTTGGCCGGCCGATTGGAGACGTGGATGGTCCTTATGGTTGGGAAAGATGAATTCATACAGTACAACATTCAAAATTAGGACACACATACGCTGAATTCAGGACTCAGATAGTACATCATAATACAAAAGAGGTTGACCAGGACTGAACAAAGTCTGAAGCAGGGTTGAACCAGGTCTAAACCCTGTCCACAGCTCCAGCTACATGCCTTCAGTGTGAAATGGTCCGAAGGGTTTAATCATCATCTCTTACATAATCTTGTCTTATTTGGCGCACAGTTTGGTTCAGTTTTGTGCATGCATCTGGGAATGGTTTAATCTCTTTTTATGGATGTGTTGGCGTGAAACCGAAGAGCATGCCCCTATAGTGGCACCGCAAATAGTGAAACACACTGAGGTCAAAGCTCCCGTATTGTGCAACATTTGTGACTGCCTCCCCAGAGCATCTTTCTCTAGAGATCGACCAAATATGGGTTTTCTGACTTCCACTCGCCAATTTAAATTATGGTGATTATTTTGATTTATTCTGTTATCATTATTTTATAAGTTTATTTCATAAGAGCTTCAGGGATTTGAGAATCTGTTTGAAGAGAAGAGGAGGAAAACTTGAATGATATGCATTCATTTATTTGTTGACTTTTTTGTAGTTCATCTTTTGCATTTGTGGTTACTTTGTGTATTGAGAAAATTACTGAGATGGGGTATAACATGCCATGGCAGCATATTGACCGGATGGGAAGCAGTTGGTATTTCAAAAATGTAAAGAATTGCCCCAATATATTGGTCGACCTCTATATTGGAAATGTTTTCATATGATTCCAAGAGAGACGGTTTTTTTACCTTTTAAGTGTGATTTTCTCTTGGCTGGACAAGATAAACACTGTCTCTTAGTATTTGCTTAGTTTTAGCATCGAAATTGTTATTTCAATTCTAAAACTGTCTAAGAACAACACCTTTTCAAGGTTAAAACTGTCTGAGAACAACTCTCAGTAAATGTTTTAAATACTGTTACCAATACTACAACCAATACTGACCATGTAGAAGTGGCAGATCCAGATAACAACAATATGGGAGCTTGTCTTAGTGTGTGTCTGCGTAAGTATCTATGTGTATGCTAGTGTGTGTGTGTGTGTGTGTGTGTGTGTGTGTAAGTGACCTGAAGCCTTAAGTCCAGTTTGGGCTCTGTTCCTCCTTGTACTTGATCATTTCTCTCAAAGCTAATATAATCCACAGTCAGCCTGGCCAATTGTTCATACGACTTTGTATTGATCATCTCCTTCTAATGCAACTTTGAACTGGATCTGTTATGATATATGTTTATATTTATTTATGAGTTATGTTGAGGATTTAGGGCATTGCTGCCTCACCCTGCCCCCAGTATGCAATGAATGGACAGCCCACAAACAGCTATAGTTTTATCCAATAGACAACAATTCACAATAGATAAATGGCAAAATGTTGAAAATTATAATTGGCTGACTACAACTCAAAGGCCAAAACTAATTGAATACAAAAAGACACTGTGTCTGCTTTGTTCTGTTTTTTCAAACAAAATTACCACTTCTGTACATTTAAGTTTTTTGAGTAAATATGATGAATTATTTTTCAGCCAGCTTAAGGCTGTGACTTTTTACATTGTCACCGCATGTTTGAGGTTGTGAAGTAATATCTTAGGTAGATAATCCATGGTAAAACAAGTATGGAGGGTAAACAATGCAATTGGTGAACAATGCTGCCACCAGAGCGTCACAAAGATATTATTATTATTTTTTTTTTTTAAATGACCAGCTGCAAATACAGACATGCAATTTTAAAGAATGTAAGAATATGACAAATTACCAAAACTAAGATAGAAGGAGCGGGGTTGGATTCATTTATTCAGTTATTGAAATTACCCAAAAAATTGAGACTTATTTCCTGCCTATCCCAAGAAGCTGTCGCTGGCCAGGCTTGCCACACTTTCAGACTTAGAGAGAAAATATTCAAACACAGGAGGACGAAGCCAATATTTAACAATGAAGGATTGACGAGAATCAGCTGTACTTTTCTCTGAATGTAAATACAACCTTACGATTGTCCTTTTTTTATTTGTATTCTTATTTTATACAATGATGAAATTGTAAGGTTAATATGTGTTGTCCCTCTGGTCTCTGGAAACTGTAGCCTTGTACTGTATCATAGCCTCACTCTTGTCGACACGTAGCCTTTAGAAACCCAGGGGACATGTAGAAAAGTCTAGAGCAGCATCTCCAGTTTATTGTCAGCGCTGTTATTAAAGTCAATTAGAATTCCATAATCACAACATCGAGAAAGACAAGGATTTTACAAGTCTGCAACTATTTATTGTGAAGGAGAGATGGAACACATAATCTTATCTGAGGTCTTAACCCTAAACTTAAGCCGGTGCCCACTGCATATTTTAATAAGCTCTGGAAATATAATTATCAAAAGAGCTTACTTTGATGTCTTCAGTATACAATAAGAATGGTTCATCTCAATCAAAATACAAGTGTAGTAGTCGCAAAAACTAAATCTTTTTAAGTTCTTTTTCATTGAAAAATAAAGGACCAAAACACAAAAATCAGGGAGAAATTATGTTAATTTGAGTATGTTTGGACTACATAAAAACATTATTTTTGGCCCTTTCTGAAGAAAAGTCTAAAATTGGAGTTATTCCTAACTAAATAATACAATGGACTACCTTGGCTCTTTTGGTTTGTCGTTGGGTTCGTAAGGTGAAATACAATTCAGTACCCATTTGTTTACATTTAAAAAAACAGTCGTTCACATGTATACACATATATAATACACAGCGTTTGTAGAATTTCTAGATAAACTCCAGCAGGTGGATTTCATGAGCTACATGCATCACTGGCAGGAATATTCTGGCAACGAAAGGGTCATTGTAATTGTGATTACTTTATTTGACCACTAAGAGTGCATACATAATGTCCCTTTTTAGGTGAATTTTCCAATTCAAATTATATCTTTAGCCTTATACAGTAAGTGCAGTAGTAGTATTTCATAATTTAGGTTAAACAAAACATATTGTTATTCTATTGCTAAAAGTAAACTTATTTATAAGTAATTTTTTTTTTTGTTGCAGTTAATCCATTAATTTCACTGACTCTTACTAACAAAAAGAACATAAATATTTTGAACATCATGTCCATTGTATTTTTAGTTCATATAATAATAACTCCACACAAAATATGTGCCTTTACATACGGTGCCTTTAAGTAGGTATGTAAATTGACTGATTAATCTGGGCACAAAAACTGGGCCCAAACATACAATACTTCTTGTAATTTTGAATCGGTAGATCATTCAAGTCAAATTGGCTCCAAACAAATTGAAAGTAAATCAGTTTCAACTCTCTTTGGTATAATTGTAATTATAATTTGTGAAAGTAAATGTAGTGTGTCACCAGGTGGTCTGTTGTAAAAATCCTCATAATGTTCCTCATATTCCATCCTTCTCTTTTGACAAGTCCTGCATAGAAAACCTGCTTTGAAGACGCTCCATTTGTGTGTCACGGTGTCATATTATACCAATACTAAAGAAGCATTTATTGCACTGTGTAAAGACTAATGTAACTCCGACGTGTTGCCTTGTCTCTGCTGTACATTGATTTTTTACTAATAACGTAACATCAGAGCAGAAACGTGCGGGTGTCCAGTTCCCCCTGCTTCATGGCCGTCCCCTTTGACCGATTCAAAGCATTCAAATTTGGCTCAAAATGATCACTGACTGATGTTTAATTCATAAGTTAAATTGGGAAATAATTTTGAGAATAAACGATATGGATACTTTCATTTTGAATGCCCTTGATGTCATAGTCTGAGGATTCAAGTTTGAAAACAGAACATTTAGAAATGTTTTTTTTTTCTTTCTCCAAAGTAGGTTTGTCAAAAGTATTGATACTAATAATGACTACATATACAGGAATAACAAATGTAATTTCTTTCTCCTCATATTTTTTCGCCAAAAAGAGCATTTATAAATAATTGCTGTGGTATTGAAAGTGGTAAAGAGTTTTTTTTTCTTGTATCAAATCGATTTTGCCACTTAAAAGGGACCCCAGCAGCAGAGGGCGCTGTACACTAAACAACGAATGTCTCAGAAATGTTGTAAATCAAAATTGTAACAAGAGGAATGAAGGAATGAAGCTGCTTTTGCATTGTGCGCTGAACTGTATCTAACTAACAGACTTTAACTAATAAAATAAACATGGACTACACTGGAGCTGGCCTTTTTACTTCACTTGAAGCACCACTAAGTCATTCTTTAACCCAAGAATAAACATATAATTGCATGTTTTTCACTTACTCCAACATGCAGGCCTGTGAGTGTTTTCTTACTACATCACTTCCAGTAGTCAGACATGCATTAAGGCTATGGTACCTAACGTTTACATTATATAGTTTCTATTTCATTTCAGAGCAGCTTTTTAAAACAGAAGAGTGAAAAAGAGAGGACCCTCACTCAGCCCAAATGAGTCAAATGGGACTCACCCTATCCACATGCACGAACGGGGGTAAAGTGATTTTCCGAAGCTGCATGAGCTGACACATATCAGTCATCATTGGTTAGAATGAACAGAAGAAGAAAAGGTGGTGGACATCTTTGGTAAATTTTGAATTAAGTTCATTTGTTGGGTAAAATTGATGTCAAATGTTATAATGCAAATACAATACAATACAATTTATTCTTGTTTAGCCCTAAATCACAACAGTAGTCATCTCAGAGGACTTAACAAAACCATTGAAATCGCTAACACAGATCAGAGAATCAACAAGACACAAAAAAATATAGAACACATAATGTTCATACATGTTGTAGAATGTTAAAGTGTCCTGGATCGTCACCACAGTCCTTCTTGTTAGACACTAACTGTCCAACAGACCCTCCTGCATAATTGACTGATAATCTAAGATGTTTAGCCTTCCCTGAGACCTACCTTCCTAACCGTATGCCAAACTAAAGACAACTGTTTTAAGCCTTGCCTTGAATGTGGAGACCGTGTCCCACATTCCCTCATTTTATTGAGTATACAGAATTGAAATGGTAGCATCCATGTTTTTTTTCCAGTTAATGTTTACACATTTTTCATTCCAGTAAGCTTTGCTCTTTGGTTTTACACTTTTTTCTTTGCAGGAAAGATTTTCTGAATAAAAAAAAAAAAGAAAAGACACATTTCAGTCCGTACCATATCTGTACTAGAGCCACAGCGCCCCCCTCTGGCCACAACAGTTCTCATTTGTTCTTAAATATAGCGACAGCACATGTCAACATTTGCCCTTCCAATTAAATAGGACTTTCTTTGGGTCGTGTGTGGTGGTGGATTAAATGCGGTGTGTGACTTTGGTGCGTTTATTTCTATTATGATGGAGATCATGTTGGGAAAACAGATCAGTACAGTACCTTCATAAAAAGTGATCTGATTATTTTACCATCAATGTCGAGGTGTAACCCAGAATATGTATTTAGAATATATATATTCAAATTCATATACACATACTGTCTTTTACTAGTATTCAAAATTAAATTTGTATTCAATACATTTGTGTTTGAGCATGCAATTTAAGATAGTATAATACAACATCCAAAACATTATCAAAGCAGAGCAAAATATGCTGCATGTATTTTACTACTTTTTAAAGCAGACATTGGTATTCTGTCATTAAATGCATGTTTCACGTATTCTCTCCAACACCAGATCACATGTATTTTACTAGAAACAAAAAATAGACACCTGTAAAATAAATTTGAGATGATGAGTGAAGCACTCCGAAATCTGAATTTAGAAAAGCTTTAAAACATGTTATATGTTTATATGTTCGGTGTGATTTACATGTCAGCACATAAGCCCAAGATGCGCTCATACATCGGGGCCGTACCTTTAGTGGCCGCTACAGGTAAGAAAGGCACTGTTCTTTGTTATTCTATGCATCTTATTAACATGTAAAGGGCGAGTTTACAGTCACTATTGAGTATTGAATACCTTGCATTTAGCATAATACAGCCATCACCCGAACAGCTCATTGAGACACAAATGAGCGCTTCCCCGTGGGGAACACACACTGCGCATGCTCAGTCTTCTGATGTACGGACTTCACGGATTTCAAACCAGAAATACTTGTTTTTTTCCCTTTGAGACTAAACACGTCGTCAGTGCGCCATCTCCAGAGCCAGGAGCACAAGAATTCTCTGCGCAGAAAGGAGGAGGATGAACGGAGCAGCCGAGAGGACGCTCTGGGTTCCGAGGCGCACGCACGGTAGGAGACAGCCGCTCCGAGGCGCACGCAGGTAGTCGGAGACAGCCGCTTCGAATGCGGGAGTTGTGTGGATGTAACACGTGTCTGTTTTATTATAAGCAGCGCACAAACGAGCTATGCGCAGAGGTAAACAAGGTGCAGGCAAGACAATATTGTTTAAATCATCCAATTACATAAGCAACTTTTGGGTGTCCTCTGCCTGTGTACCTTCAGTCAGTGTAGCGTGTTCTCCATGTGCTCCGAGAGTCTGGGCACACAGCCCTCCTGGTCTGGGGGAGAGCAGGTAATGCAAATCTAATCCTAGCCCTCACACCGAGGACGCCTTCGGTACTCATAAAGTCACAGATTCGTTTCCAAAGACGTGAAGCCAGTTCTCTTATGTGAATACAGCAAAGGTGTTCGTTTGGTCATATGCAGTTGCCCATCCGCAGAGCCGGTGCTGTTGTGTTAATGTGTGGAGTTAGAGAGAAATGCCCACAACAATTGTAAAGCGCTTTGTGACGCTCTGGTCTGTGAAAGGCGCAATAGTAGGCGCAGTTGTATGTCTGTTATTTGTTATTGAAGAAAGTTTGATTCAAACATTAATTTCCCCCTAGCGAAATAATACAAGACTTAACCCAGGCAATTGCCTTTTGTTTATGGCGACAGTGGCTCAGTTGGTAGAGCCAATGCTCTAAAGTCTCTCTCACCAAAAGAAAGCAGAATATTTCCTCATATATTGTAGTGTTTTTGTTACGTCCATTTGATATCGATATATTTTATGATGTGTTTTCACATCCTTTGAGGTCGTGGGTTCGAGCCCACACTTTCTCCGCCAACTCCCACTGATGTCTGCTGTCGCTGTGTCCTTGGCAAGACATTTCACCCACATTGCCTAGAATGAGTCTGGTGTGTGTGTAAATAGTTAGAGGTGGTCGGAGGGGCCGATGGCACATACTGGTTGCCTCGCTTCTGGCAGTGTGCCCCAGGGCAGCTGTGGCTACAGTGGTAGTTTATCACCACCTTGTATGGAGTGAATGAATATTGACATGTGAAGCGTCTTTGAGTGTCCAAAAAAAACGCTAAATAAAACCGATTAATTATTATTATTTTCACACATTGAACATTTAGATTCATAATTTAATCTAATCTATATCAATAAATAACTCAGACAGATGTAAAATTATCTCTAAAACAAAAGCAAGTGTGTAAATGAAACAAGGGAAACAACTGGAAGATGGACAAAAGCTGAGAAAAGTATCTGAGGACACTTGAGCAACAAAGACTATACAATGAAAGAACGGGTCACCCCATTGCCCTAAAAACGGAGCAAATAAATGATAATTATTTTAATTGTCCAAAGGAGACATATCACCCAGTGACCCAGCCATATGTATAATAAATAAAACACCAGAATGAGCAAAACAGCCCCTTCTAGTGGTAAAAGTGTGAATAAATTATAACCCTGAGCTTGCAAGGAAACATAATGAATGAATGTGTGATATAATAGTGTTTTCAGCGAGGCTCCTTTAAGTCCTGTGTGTTATGTAAGTGTATGTGAGTCCACACGTGTGTGTGTGCAGGTTTTGAATGTCAGTGTTGCGTTAGCTCTAGAGAGCAGCAGCAGCCGTCAGTGTCCGGTTAGCTCAGGGGCACATGGTGTCTTTGGAGTTTCAGTGTTGAATGAGACTGAGCCACACTGACCATGGAGCCACAGTCAGCTCCCCTCAGGCTGATCATGGAACTGAGACCAGAGGCAACTCTCCTCAGGCAGAGAAGGAGGCGCTGTGAAAGCACAGGTCAGAGGAAGGCTTGAAGAACACCTATTATGCCTTATCGGTGCTCTTGTTAACCATTACATACGATCTAGGGAATGTTTGCTTGAGCATTTGATGTTTTAAGGTTGAGATAGACCTATCCAAATCTTGGGCGTTTGGAGGACTTGGGCAACAAATTGGTTTTGTGTTTTCCAACATTTTGGAAACAGTTGGTACTGTGTGTCATGTTGAGAACGATCGGGTCTATTTCGCCATGAGAAGTTGGACACAGTATTCTTATTGGTCTGTGCTCGTGACGTGTTGGAGGGAGAGTGGGGGGCAGAGGGGGAGGGTGACCCGCGGTAGAAGAGAATAGGCCCTCGGAGGAGAGAGATCCGCTGCTGCTGTTGGCCCTACGGGCAGGATGTGCTGATGTAGTCGTTCAAGACCATATTGTCAATGCTGAGCAACAGAGCGTTTGGCTGTTGGCTGGTTGGTGCATCAAAGCCTTAAGACTGTGGAACAATTTATTAAGCAAAATGTGTACGGAATGGATGAACAAGAGATTGTCCGGACTAGCAACATATTTATTTTGTGGGAGATAATAGAATCATGGAATAGAATAAATGGAACATATAGGTCATATATTCCGTATTGAATACGTTCATATACGGTATATCGTATTTTATCCAGAGGTACATTGTCTACTGTAATGCCTGTAATATCATTTCACTTGCATTGCTAGTGGGAGTAACTAGTTACTTTAATATATTCCTTTTTAAGGGACTCAGTACTGTGACTAGGGGTGTTGCGATATATCGATATATCGCGATACTTTCTCCCGCCATTCGATTATCGATATGCATTTGCCAAGTATCAATATTGATTTTGAAAAAAATAATAATAATGAAAATCTTTATTTTTGTATTTATTAAATTTTTTTTTTTTTAAATTGGTATCAATACTTAGTATATGTCTACATTACGCATCTCTATTCCATTTATCATGAAATAAAGTGTATTTTTTCTTTTATTTATGCCATAAATTGGCATATCGTATTTTTCTGACCAATATATTGATAATCGTCATATCGTGATAAAATCGTTATCGTGATATCGTTATCGTGAGCTTTGTATCGTGTATCGTATCGTGAGGGTTCCCACCCCTAACTGTGACTGTCTGAGACTAGTGCCTAGTGTATAGCCTAGCCCTAGTGTATAGTCGCGCAGGCCGCGCCGCAGAGAAGCTCCGCTGTGATTGGTCCGTGTGTGTGTTTTGGATGGAAGCTGGAGCGGCTGCAGGGAACATGGACGAGGCACTTCGGAACTGCTTTGTGCTTCGAAGGAACCGAAGGAAAAATAGTTTGGGTTCATGGCTCAGAGCCTGATATACACAGAGCCTGTGGACTAGAGTTCTGTTGCATATCTAATGCCGTTTTTCCACGGTCCGAGTATGGTACGTTTTGACTCTACACGGTCATGGCCCAGTTTGCGTGCTTTTCCATCAAAAATAGTACCCCCTAGTATGTCCTCAGCGTTGTCAGACCACGTCATTTACGTGTGACGCGTAACTAGTACTGGTGCTGTGCATGGATTTATTATAATACCAGAGCAAGTGTTTAATAGAAAATTCAGCACAGCACGAGTAGTTTTTGAAAATGCTTATGTCTTAAAAGAATGACCCAGACACTGTGAAGTCAATGGTGCCGACTGCTCTGTACAATCTGAATGGACCTGTAGCAACAGCAGCCAGTGTAGCAGAGGAGGAGGGCTGCATGTCCGAGGATACTGCTAGGCTATAGCTAATGCTAGCGCTAGCTAGCATTAGCTTTAGCTGGATAAGAAGTGTTCAAGAGTCCAACAGCAGAGGGGAAGAAACTGTTCTTGTGGCGGGAGGTTCTAGTCCTGATGGACCGCAGCCTCCTGCCTGAGGGGAGTGGTTGGAATAGTCCATGTGCAGGGTGAGAGGGGTCGGCTGTGATACGACCAGCCCGGCCTCGAGCTCGGGCGACGTACAGGTCCTGCAGCGATGGAAGGCTGCGGCCGATCACTTCCTCTGCAGAGCGCACAATGCGCTGTAGTCTCTGTTTGTCCCTGACTGTGGCTCCAGCGAACCACACGGTGATGGAGGAGGTGACGGAGGAGGTGATGGAGGAGGTGATGGAGGAGGTGACGGAGGAGGTGATGGAGGAGGTGATGGAGGAGGTGACGGAGGAGGTGATGGAGGAGGTGAGGATGGACTCGATGATGGCCGTGTAGAACTGCACCAACATCGGTGCAGGCAGCTTGGCTTTCCTGAGCTGCCGCAGGAAGTACATCCTCTGCTGGGCCTTCTTGATGAGGGAGCTGATGGTCGGCTCCAGAGCTTACATTAACTGAAAATTCTCCGTCATTGACGGATTTTTTTTTTTTCTGACGTAAAATTTGGAAGGCCGTCCGTCAATTTGAAGGATTGAAAATTAAGTTATAATTTTACATTGCGAGTTGTAGTTGACCGTCCTCTCCACTTGATGGCGCCAGCGCCGTTTATACACGAACAGCGCGCTGCAGAAGTACGGCTTGGATGCTGTCGAGCGCCTTTCTGACTTTTATGGCGCGCACCCAAACACAGCGGTCTCACTCGTTGAAAAGGAAAGGATGGTACGGGACTTTCACTCCGTGAAACGTGTGCTTGCAGGTTCAGGTAACCCGCCATTTAAGGACTCCTGTAAGCTTCTCATCAACATATACGCGGAGATGTTCCCAGACTACAAAACTCTGGCCGAAGTAGCGCTTGTTATTCCTGTGTCAAGTGTCGCTGCTGAGCGCGGCTTCAGTCCCCAAAATAAAATCAAAACTGCACTTTGAAGCCGTCTGACCGAGACAAAAACACAAACTCTAATGACAATCGCCTCGGTGTCGCCAGCCCTGCACACATTCAATTAAGAACAGGCGAGTGCTCAGTTTAAGTCCACAAAGCCGCGAAAGAAGGTTTAATAACCGCATTCAGGCAAACTCCTGTACGTGTTTGTTCCACATGTTAATGCAGGTTAAATGTTACGCAGAGTTGTCGATTGTTTTGCGATTTTTATGCAACTTTATATATTCACAAATTAAATGTATTGTACATTTGTAAACGAACAGCTAATAAAGCACGTTATAAAGCCTGTTTTTGTTTATACAATTGTTTAATTAATAGCCTATAGGGTATTTCAAACGTGAAAATAAAATGACGGATAAAAATAGCTCATGACGGATTTTTTTGGACCCTGTCCTTCATTATGACGGGCTGAAATGATCTCTAGCGAAACCACTGGTCGGCTCCCACTTGAGGTCCTGGGTGATGGTGGTGCCCAGGAAACGGAAGGACTCCACAGAGGTGATGGGGGAGTCCATCACGGAGGGTGGGGGCGGGGGGACAGTGCTCTTCCTGAAGTCCACAATCATCTCCACTGTCTTCTGGGCGTTCAGCTCCAGGTTGTTACCACTGCACCAGGACACCAGCCGGTCCACCTCCCTCCTGTAGGCGGACTCATCGTTGTTGGAGATGAGTCCAATGAGGGTGGTGTCGTCCGCGAACTTGATCAGCTTCACAGAGTCGTGGCTGGAGGTGCAGTGGTTGGTGTACAGGGAGAAGAGCAGGGGAGAAAGAACACAGCCCTGTGGGGCTCCTGTATTTATAAACCGAGAGTCCGAGACATTCTTCCCCAGACGCACTCGCTGCTTCCTGTCCGTCAGGAAGTCAGTGATCCACCTGCAGGTGGAATCGGGCACGTTGAGCTGGGAGAGCTTGTCCTGGAGCAGGGATGGCAGGATTGTGTTGAAGGCAGAGCTGAAGTCCACGAACAGGACCCTGGCGTAGGTCCCCGGGGAGTCCAGGTGCTGTAGGATGTGGTGGAGGGCCAGGTTAATGGCGTCGTCTACAGATCTGTTGGCTCTGTAGGCGAACTGCAGGGGGTCCAGGAGGGGGGAGGTGAGGGACTTGAGATGGGAGAGAACCAGGCGTTCAAATGACTTCATGACGACAGACGTAAGTGCTACAGGTCTGTAGTCATTGAGTCCTGTGATCCTGGGCTTCTTCGGGACGGGGACAATGATGGAGGATTTGAAGCAGGCCGGGACATGGCAGGACTGCAGAGAGGTGTTGAAAATGTTCGTGAACACAGGAGTAAGCTCACTGGCGCAGTGTCTCAGAGTGGCCGGAGACACGTGGTCCGGGCCAGGAGCTTTGCGGGGGTGCAGCCTCAGGAAGAGTTGTTTAATGTAAGTTAGTAAGTAAGTAATTAAGAGTAGTGGGGGGTGGGGGAGGGAGAGGTGTCAGGGGCAGCATCAAAGCGACTGAAAAATAAGTTCAGTTCGTCAGCTAGCTTGTGGTCGTCAGCACAGGGGGGGGGGCTTTGGGTTTGTAGTTGGTGATCTCCCGTAGGCCCCTCCAGACAGAAGCAGTATCGTTGTTACCAAACTGCTCCTGTACAGTAGGTCCCACTTTGTTTTGATTCATATACTCCCCCCGCTAATAAAAACTGAGGATTGGCCGGGGCTCGAACCCCGATCGTCCAAGCGAAACAGCTGATATGGTCCTGTCCTCGATAAGTTACAGATTTGCGGGGATGACTTCAACAGAGGTAAGACATGTTACTGTTTTGTATGATATTTAGACCAAATCAAATCTATATTTTCCAAAATGTGATACTTCAGCAAATGTAAAGCAAAGTGAATTATCAAAAGCCTGAAGCCACATTATATTCACACAAATGAACAACATTTCAAAGGGGAACAAAAAAGTGTCTATTATGTATATATAAACGTAAGCCTAACTGTAATCATTCAATTCCACAGATAGAAATGCTTCCATGACAAGCCAAAATCATCTTTTCATTGGGCCTTATAAGGTTAGCGTAGCATGAGACTTTTTGTGGTATATTTACTACTCATAAACATAAATCAGTGAAGTCACTGTTATTTTGCAGCCAAGACAAGCTAACATTAGCAACATTATTATTCCCATAGAAAATACAGCATAATTACCACTGTTACTGTTTTGTTTTTATTAGTGTTATTACT